CGCGCTGGTGGGGCGGGGCCGGCAGGCGTCGCGTTGTAGGGGGGTGGGGCCGGGACCGGTAGGACGGGGCTGCGCCTGCGCTCTGTTGACTACCGGGGAAGATGCCGTCGGTTTCGAAGGCGGTGTCGCGGGGTGGCGGGTCCGGTGGGTCCCCGCAGACCGAGCAGCCGACGCATTATACGTAGGTACCGCGTCCTGGAGGCGCCCTGCTCCCGGGGCCCCAGCGCCGCGCCGGGAGGGCCTCAGGACCCGAGGCGGAGGGCCCGGTCGTGTGTCAGGCCTGCTCCGCGCGGCCTCCCGCGCTGGCGGCTGGTCCGTGAGGAGACCGCCTGGCCCTGGCCGGCCTTCGCCGCGCACCTTTTCCAGCTCCAGGCGCCGCGCGGAGGAAGCCGCGTTCTGTGCCGGCCAGATAGAGGCGGCCCGGGCGCGGCTGTCCGCAGAGCGCCTGCGGCGGTTCTCCGCGCCTTGCGTCTGCTCCCACGGTCGTGCCTCTCTGGTCCGCGCTGTGACCCGCCGGCATTCTTCGGCATCCCGAGCCCCGCAGCACCCTCTCGCACTCCGAGCCCGCCCTCTGCAAGCTATGGCAGCAGTCCTTCCGCTTCTCCTAAGCGTTGCGTAGCCAGCTTCAGCTCGAGTCCTTGGGACGTTTCCGTGACAGTTTTTGCAGACCTTCCTGTAGTGAAAGACAGGTCCCGTGTGCTCGCCGTCCTCTCTGCAAGCCTATCCGTTTTCTTCTGATACGGTCTATAAAGTCGCTGCAGCCCTCTAGCACTACTGACAGCTTACCTCATGTAGAACCATGTGATCCCCACAAAGGCATAATAATTTTTCACCTAATTGTTGCATTCGCTCCCATCCCCCATATTGCGACTTCTATAATGTCACATTTCCACCACTCTCAGAAAGACCACAGGAATGTGGCCACTTTCCTAGATACTGCTTACAGCCTGTTCTCCAACCCTTAACGTCAAAAAATTGTGTTCCTTTTTTTTTTTTTTTTTGGTCTTTCTCCCCACAATCATGGATAGTTTAGAGGTTCTTCTCTAAAGTTAAAGAGATGCTTCATAACTCTGTCATTACATCCTCCATGTGCCAATTTAAGCAACTGAAAATGAAAAGATGCCCTTTATTCCTCTTTCTAATCCTTTCCTTTCCCTATATCTTCAATTCCCCGTAGCCTGTTATATATCCTGCACCCTTTTAGAGACCTCTGGGAACTCTTAAGGTTCTTCTGCAAAGCCTCCATATACCCCTTCCTCTGCAAATACTCCATAACTTTAGCGATGTAATGAGCTTGCTAAATTGCCTAATAGATATATAAATTGAGACAGGAAGAAGTGCTGACTTGCATCCTTTGACAAATGCCACAGTAGTGTCCAGACTGGCATGATCTTGATATCCAATGGAAAGAGGTATCAGACTTCCTAAGTAGCTTCTATGCCCTGCATGCTAATGAAGGACTGTCTTACTAACACCTAAGTAACCTTCAAAGACCCCATACTGTCTCAACACAAATGTAACAGTTGCTGAAGTAAGTTTGCTGAACTCCCCTCATAGCCCCTGATAACCTTCATAAAGCCCTTCTAACCCTCTAGCTTTCTATATATTGTGTCCACATTCTGGGAATGTTCTGATTAAGGACTAATGTTTGAATTAGATGTGGTATTTAGCTAAAACAGCCTTTGTAGGACTATTTTGTATGGTAGCAAGCAATATGAATGCTCATTCAAGTAATTTGTTGGATTTATAATCTCTGTTTGGTGGTTACGTAGGACAATATTCTAAATACTGTGCTTTTTTAATTAATGTATTTGATTTTAGTTTAGTTACAAAACACAGTATAATTTTCCAGGTATTCCACTGTATTTTATTAGTAATGCATCTGTCATAAAAAATGAAGTCACTTGTATTCAGCTAAACAGTAAATTGTGCACAGGAACTAAAACTGTATGCAGGTACATTTGTACAATTTTTCATGGGCTATGTGCACTGAATTGTCAAGTGCCCTGTTAATACTGTAAAAATGTGCCTCCAAGAAGATAAACTTGTAACACAGTTTAATTTTTTTAGGTATCTAAAGGAATTTAGGACAGAGCAGTGCCCCCTATTTTTGCAGCACAAGTGTACCCAGCACAGACCATTTACCTGTTTTCATTGGCATTTCCTAAATCAGCGTCGTCGTAGACCTATACGAAGGCGTGATGGGACTTTTAACTACAGTCCAGATGTTTATTGTACAAAATATGATGAGACTACAGGAATCTGCCCAGATGGAGATGAGTAAGTGATTTCTTTCAGTCCTAGGTGTTTATAGTATTATCAATGACATTAAGGAAAGATGCTAATTTCTCCTTAGTGAAAATGATCGATAGAATCCTGCTGCAGTTTACTTGAAAACATTTCTATAAGTGATTTGTCAATTTTGGGCACATATACTTTTATATACGCATGTATTCTTTAGGCTATCACAGAGAATTATGATTTTGCATTGTGATGATCTTTAAAGCATAGCATAAGAAACTTGTTTTCTGCTAGTATTGTTGCTGCACATTTATGCTAGTATTGTTGCTACACCTTTTTTTTTTCCCAGTTGTGCTTCCTTTTTCTCCTGACAACTTTGAAATTCACCAGTAGGTGCAAACCTTACTGTATAGGGGTGACTTCAAGATATTAAACTTACATAAGTTCTGTGAAGGTTGATGAGTAGTAGAGGAGAATGACAGTTTCATGATGTTTCCAGTGAGAAAAAGCAAAGGAAGGAGTTCACTGTTAGTTGTCTGGCTAGCCTGTTAGTGTTTCCATTTCCATGGACAAGTGTCTCTTCTAGATAAAGGCTACAGAGAGTCTTCAGTGAACTTGGGGAGGGGTAGAAGCTTTGTGGACATGAGAATGAACAAATGGTACAGCGGGGCAGGCAGGCGTATATAGAGGAGCTGGCTATATTGTGGTCACATGTCAGAGGAGCTACCTTCATCTGCAGTGATGGAAGCAAGGAAGGACTTCTGACAAAAAAAAAAAAATATTGCAGGAAACCAGCCAGGAAATATGTAGTTGTGCTGGTCACCTGTTTTAAAAATTGAAGACTAATTATTTGGTTACTGTAGCGTATAGCAGCACTTGTCATGGATAAGGTTATAGGCTGTAGTCACAGAAGAAAAAAGTGGATTTTTCCCAGAGGCTTTACAAACTAAATGACAGAGATAAGGTAAACAACAAAAATGCACTAGGCAGCATGACAATATTGAGTACCGTGCTTAAGCAATATAAACAGCAAAAAAATGGCTCTGAGGGATGATTTAAAAGAGAACAATTAATTACCTTTTCAGGTGTTTGTAAAGCACTCCTGCCAGTCCTGGGGCAGCATGGGCAGTTCTTTGAAAATCAGCAAACGAGGATAATGGATGCTCATGTCATGGATTGGTTGGGGACAAAAATTGACCTTTCATTATTGAGTAATAGGTACTGATTCTAAAGGAGGAAAAAGGAAGCAATGTTTTAAAAGGCTATTAGCTGGGCAAGACTGAATTGTTAGAAGCAAATAAGAGGAGATGTTTCAGTAACTGAGATGTGAGATTGAAATCTTTTTGCTGCAATTGGATTGGAAAGGTTGTCCCCTACAGTCGCTGGAGACTACTCCCTGGTTAGGAGCCTAAATGACAAACAGGGTGATTATATTGTCTGGTATAATGGAAGTGCAGAGGACTTGCCGGAAATAAGACCAGTAGTGAGATTCATACCTCTAGTTTAGCATGTTGCGCCTACAGTTTTGGTTAAATGGATAGGTTAAGGAGTTACCAGCAAAGAGATGGTGGTTTTCAAGTTTGTGTTTTGCAGTGAAATTGCCCAAATGTAGTAAGGATAGGAGGAGGGACCAAGGTTGGAGTCCTGTGGGACCCCTCACCAGAGGCATAAGAGAATGTTGAAGTTGGAAGATATGCTGCAGGAGGGATTGGGAGGAAAATGTGAACGTAACTGAATTCCCATGAACAAAGGAGAACAATGTTTCAAGGGGAGGAAAATTGAGTAAAGGAGACAGTAAATTTAAAAAATGAGGATAGGTGTAGGGAAAATGGAGTCCGTTTTCTTTGACTCAGTTATAAGGCAAGATTGTTGGAGACATTTGTGAGAGAACTTTCAGCTGAACTGTGGAGGCCTTGTTTTAGATCTGAACATGAGAACTGGTGGCTAGAAATGGCAGTCAACTGTTGTAAGTTAATAGCTGATTGAAGTTCAGGTAGAAGAGAAAAGGCAAACAGGGCAAGTAGTTGGGAAAGGCAAGAGGAGTCAAAGGTAATTCTTAAAGATAGACAATGCCAGAGCATGTCTGTAGTGGCAGGAGGAAAAAAAAATGGAGGAAAACACCAACATTTCTGAGGACATGCTTACAGTGTGGCAGCATTCCTGTTTCAGAACCCAGCAAAAGAGTGAGGTTTTGACCCTGTTTTGTCTTCTGCCTAAAATATAGCCTTTTATTTGGAGCAACTTCAATTTCTTATAGAAATAGGTTATAAACAGTGGTGCTAGGACCCCTTCATTTTAAGCTATCTGTGACAATACATTGGTACACTTTTTTGGCTTTTATCTATGTCTCTGTTTCTCTGTTCTGCTCATCTGAATACACGGTTAGTTTAATGCAGTTTGTGAGTTGGTAGAGAACTAGCGAGAAAGGTAGAGTGATGACACCCATAATTGTTCTCGGGAACATACTTTCAAGAGAATTAAAGTAGAAATTGTTGGTCTCACCCAGTCTTGACTGTGTTATTTCTTTCCAAAGTTCAACTTGGAATGAAAGCCCAAAATTTTAAAGCTGTTTAGAAAAGGGCTTTTCTAAGGGTAGCAATTAAGACAGTCTGTTCTAAGGAAGGGCCTGTGAGAAAGACTAGATTACTTGCAGAGTTAGAGGCATTTATTTTGAGCAGGAACAGTGTTTCTCCCAATTTCACAAGGGAGGATAGAAGTGATACTTTTTTTTTTTAATCTGATGTGGTTTTCAACCATTGTAGTCAACTGATGTCAGGTTCTAAAAAAAGATCATTTTGGATATATTAGTATCTGTAACGTAAGACTGCTCTAAGAGTGAATGAATTACAGAAGCATACTACAGAAGAGCACTTCAAGTAATCATAGCAAAAAATATGTCAGTGCCTCAAGGTTGAACAGAAGTAGAACTATGTAGTTGTTCTCATACACTTAAGAACATTTAGCATTACCCTTTAAACTGGAATTGTTTTATTCTTAAAGGATATCTTTGGAACGTTTATGATGTGAATTAAGAAGCATGTGAAAAGGAAATATACACTTCAGTAATCAGTTAACCTTGTAAGTTTTTGTGAATATATGTTCTGTTTCATGGTATATACATCTACTTACTTTGAATAATGTAATGACAGTTTTACTTTGTCAGATCCGGATGCAGAAAACAAAGCTGATTTAAATAGTTAAATGTTGTGTGTAGACTCCAATAGAACTTAAAAATACAGAGTAATGTTCTTTACTGATTCATGATTACTAAGTTTGGATTCAGTACAGTTATTTTAAGCTGGCAGATGGCTGTAGAAATATGGGCCATGAAATAGATTTGTTATTCTACCTGGGAACAACTTTTTTTTTTTTTTTTTAATAATAAAAACGTTGTTTTATGCTCCATTAAAATATTTCATTAATAAGGTGAAGGTAAGATCTACCATACCTTTAGTTCATTAAAGGTTGAGTAGAACATCTGTTCTGTGCATTTTTCAGTGCATTGGCTTAGTTTGATACTATGTGTGAATAAGTACTATCTGCCATCTAAAAGCTGCTTTTATTAGGGGTTTTTGCCTTTCTGACTAATGATACTACGATGAACTACAGCTGATCAAGATGTCTGTGGTTAATAGCATATGTATTATTGTGGTATTGTATGAATAACATTTTTATGCAAAACATACACATGCAAAATTGATGCCATCATTTTTGCTCTTTGAGGTTTGCATGCTGTTTAGTCCCCCTGAGTCACCTTAAGAACTAGTCCTTATCGAGTTCTTTACAAGTCTTAGACAACAAACTGTCCCAGTCACACTGGATAGCCTCATTAAAGCATTCTGTTAGTTTCTGGAGGAGGACTTAACTTGTTACAGGACTCTTTAGGCAGCTAGCAAAATGTGCAGTAGGAAAGCTGTGTTTTCAGTAAAGTTCAGATTTCATTAGCTATTGATGGCACGAGTATTGAGTCTTAGGGGAAACAAATCTAGGTTTAATTTATCAGAATTAAGAGTCTTGTGACACAGTTTGTATTTCTTTCCCAGCTTGTGTTTGGAATCCATGTTGTCTTTTTGTGGGAAAAAATTGTGACCTGAGTATTTATCCCTCTCTGACATTGCATACAACAAGTTGTGCCTCACTTGTCTGACAAGCTGTGTCTGAATATTTCATTGAATTCTCACCTTTTTTTTTTTTAAAACAGTAATTTAAAAATAATTGAAGGCTTTAACATTTTGGGGGGGGACACCTCCACTGATAAGGTGATTTCGCTAGGGAAAAACTGCAGATATTTAAGCAAAACATTTGCCTCTGATAAGGAGCCATGGGCTTAGAGACAAGCAACGAGATGTAAACACCTGTACACTTCTTGCATGGAAGACATTTGATTCTTGTTTCCAACAGGAACAAGCAAACTTAAGTAGATGAAAATGGAGGCGTGAACATTATGCATAAGAATATGACAGAGTATTCTCACCTTTGTGAGGTGTCCATATATGAGTGAAAGATTAAGAGTTTGTAATGAACAGTCTGCTGGGAAAATGGAAACAGTTGACCCCTGCAAAGATTCTGGTAGTGGTGGGACAGCAATAACAAAAATATAGCCTCAGACTGCATTTCCTCTTGTTTAGAGTTCTGTACAGGACTAGTGCTGGCAAAAGTGATTGACTCTTGTGGGTTTTCTTATTTTTCCATATCTGTAGCAATTCTAGCAGAACAGGAGGGCTGCATCAGTGCTATTCATACATCACAAAGAATTTCTTACAAACTTCAGCTGAGGCACTGTAATGGGTCCAACAAAGATTGCATCCTGTCTGTCTTTCTGTGTAGAGCCAAGGAGTGTGAAAGAACTACTTTCACATCCTGAGTGTAGACTGTGCTCCATCTTACACTGACAAAATGAGATGTAGCACTGAATTTGGTATACCTCGTCTTCCCACTAATTAATTCTGCTGGGATTTAAAGAGATAGGTACAAATCACTGGCTGCAGCCCATTTATCTTGTTTGACAGAAGGCTGGTTTGAAATTCCTACAAGGAAGCAACTTGATTCTCAGAAATCATAAACAGTATCAATTCCTGGAAGTCAGCACAAGTTGCAGGTGTTTCACACAGCAGGAAGAATGATGAATTTGATGTAAATGTTTGCAAACAATTGTACTTGTTTAGTCTAGTTTCCAAATAACCCTTTTAGAATATACTAAATAAAGCTTAAGCCAGCAAAAATTCTTATGAGTGTCAAAGTCTACTTAGTGCTTCACTATTCTCCCTCCATTCAAAGTAAAACATTTCTGTGGGACTTTTCATTTGTTGTTCTGTATCACTCTCTAAGCTTTTTGGTGCAGTTTCTTTTTACTTTGGGATGGGGGAGAGTAGTTTTTGGAGATTAGTATTTTTTCAAAACCAGCAGAGACCAAAATTAATTACACTGAAATAAACTGGCAGAGAACAGACATCCCTGTGCATATATTTTTGTGGGGTTTTTTTGAATTTGTTTACTGTTGGTAGTTGGAATTATAATCCATACATGATGCTAGCCATTTTAAAGTACAGACCATAACTCACATAGTTGTGTCTGAAAAATGGTTAGTATATGTACAAAGATGTACTGCTGATGTAAAAATTGTTCTCTTCCTTTTAATAGAAGAGTCAGTTTAGATTTCCCTTGAGATTGTTCAATAAGTTCCATGTCTATAAAGAGCAGGCAGGACAAAAAAATCTCTGTACTTCAAGTACCCCTTGATTTTAGATGTTGATAACATTAAAAAAAAAAAAAATTTTTGTACCTCTTAATGTAGAAATTATTTGAGCTTGTATCAGTATGGAAGATGTCATTCCTTAGCTGAGATTATGTTGTTGCTTACAGGGGTGCTTACTAGATTTATTAATAATATCTTTGTGAGCCAGCCTGCTATGAATTCTTATAACTTTAGCAGAGACTAAGAAATAGATTAATGTTCTTCATTTTGAAGCTGATCTGTGATGGTGGTTTGTTTGGGACAATTTTTATTTGAAGACTCCTACAAAGTTACTTGTTATAAGTTAATAAGAGATATAGTATAATTCAGAATTAAATTATTAAAAACAAAACTCAAAGTGGTGCTCTAACTTTCCTCTTTCTATTATGTAGTTGCCCTTACCTGCATCGAACAACAGGGGATACAGAAAGGAAGTATCATCTCAGATATTACAAGACTGGAACATGCATTCATGAAACAGATGCCCGGGGTCACTGTGTGAAGAATGGAATTCACTGTGCCTTTGCTCATGGTCCGCATGACCTTAGACCACCAGTATATGATATAAGGTAGTCTTATTTCAAATTCTTCAGCCTAATTAGCAGGAAATACCACATGTCTGTTATCAGCACGTACCAGAAAATGCAGTGTGCTTTGCATGAAAAATATACTTGCTTCTGTAACTGTAGACATAAGAATGCAATTCACTGTGCATCACAGTAGCCGATAGAAGCACACTGGGAAGTAAAAATACTAAGGTTTTGTAACTTGCCATTTCAAGAGCCATGTAGGTAGTCCTTATGACTGATAAAAGAGCAGATACCCTGCCTTTTGTCATTTATGCCTTGTAAATTTGTATGTGGGTTTTACGTTCACAAATTTATGATTTTGTTAAGCCATCTTTCAGGTTCTCAGCTTGTATGTTTGACATTTTGCCTGCTGACATTGTGTTTTTTTAAATTACGTTATATTTTTTCCTGTATAAGATGTCAGTATTATTTTCTGCCTCTGTAATGTATAATCGAGTTACTGTCGAAAGAAGGTGCTTTGTGAATCAGGGTAGTGGTGGGTATGAGTTTTACCTGTGGCCAAAGCTGGGAGATAAGCATGTTGTTGGGAGGTATTATAAATGGGTGGAAGGGGAGCTCTTGCCACAGAAAGTGGTCTGTATATTCTGTAGGAAAGGATACCAGTTCCTAGAGAGCTTTGAAGCCTTGGAGGGTCACAAGTATCTCTTACTGGACACTGGAAGAGCATTCTGGGGAAGTATCACTATACGCTTGCCCTATTCTTATACTCTTCCCTAGGCATCTGCTATTGGCCACTGTTGGAGACAGGACTCCAGGCTAGATGAACCTTTGATCTGAGCTGGTATGGCTGCTATCTTACATTCTTACCTTTGTTATCCCTTATTCCCAACGATCTGTTGGGATATAATAGCTCTCCCTTCACAGTAATTTTAGTAAAGTTAGTGCCTTTTCAGTAATATCATAATTATTTAAATCCACATTTTGCCACAGAATTCACTGCTGCATTGCCTGGTCACATACTGTTTAGTTATATATAGCTTTTCTTTCCAGAAGACTTCAATTAGCTAGCTGATGCTTCTTCTGCAACACATCTGTCCATTTTCTTTTTCTTCTTTTTAACTTTCCTCATTTAGCATATGCAGCATGATGCCATGTCAGTCTGAATACAGAATGTGTAGTATCTTTGTAATCTTCTGTATTGTATTAGAATGAGGAACCAATGTATAGCAAGACTGAAACCAAGCTCTGTTCTCTAAATGTCTTTTAATGTGTTACATGGTTGTTTATTGGTGACTGGCTACGTATAAAGCATCAGGAAGAGCTGAAGGCATTTGTGGTAGGAGTCTATGTTTAACAGCTTGGACCTACAAGTAGGCTGCCTCAAACTTTGGTGTTTGTGAAAAACAGTCATGTGCCATTGCTTCTCCTGATTTCAGGCATCCAGCATTCATAAGGAAGTCCAAACAATCAGGTCTTATTTTTTCTTTGATGGTCTTTTTGCTCCACAATGGACACAGATATTAGGGTTTCTTCATGTAAAGAGCAGATAAATAACAGTACAATCCCTGATACAGGCATTAACTGTATTCTCCTTAATAGCCTTGTTCTTCTACATAGCCACCTTAAAGAAAAAGCACTCTCTAGGACCCGTCTGTTTTCCTTCTCATTGCCTGCACCTTTTCTGAATCTGTAAAAGAAATATTTTGACTGTTTGAAAGGTTTTAGACTTGTCTTTGGGTCTGTCTTTTCTTCCTTTCCCTTTGAGATTTTCTTTCTTGGAGGATACTTGGGGTCTGGGAAGTTCTTGAAATACTATGTAAATGATACCATAACTAGTTACATTATAAACGACCACACCTTTCAAACTCCTCTTCAAAGATCCTGAGTAGTAATATTTTGGTATAGGTGGTAAGGTCCTTGAATATTTGTGTCTAGAGAAAGTGCCAATTGAAGGTAGAAGCCTTTGATTCTCATAGAGTACTATACATCCACCTCTGGTTTTGATTCCTCACCTTGTTTCTCCATTGCTTCAAAGTCTGCCTAATATAATTATGCTATAGTATCTATCTTTTTTTTAATCTTTTGTACTGGGTTGCCATTGTTGAATCTCTGTACAGCTTAGTTTTACTAAAATGGTGTAATAAAATTGTCGCAGATTTTTGGTGGGAGATTTCATACCGCTAATATGATACCTTTTGGGTTGGTAGTAGTCGTTCTGATCTTTCAGCAAGCTTGTGGTTGCTTACTTTGCAAAGCAGTTGTAAATTCTTGCAGTAGAGATTCCATTTCCTCATAATGATTGTTGTTTGTTACTAGGTCTCCCGAATGTCTTGACAAACTTTTCTTGCAAAATCTTACAGTGAACCAAAAGTACTTTGGCTGCTTTTATATGATGTAGTATTCAATAGCTGCATTTTGTACCTGCCTTTGGTGATAAGTTTTCCAAGGCAAAGAGTCTTACGGTATTTAATTCTCTGTCATAAAGGAGGAGTTCTGTATTTCTTATTGCCCTTTCTATATATTTTTTAATTCTACCATGTCCTATGTGGCAGTGGAATATCAGAAATTAATAGCATATTCAAAATGTCAGCACACCAGCATACAGAGGTACAGATAGGCATTGCTGGTACAAACATTGTCTGTGTATAATGCCAGCATTCCTTCATATGTTCTGTTTGGTTTGTATGGCATGGTTATTCCTTACGATTGCCAGCTTCAGCACAAGTAATGTTTTGAAATACAGTCAATTTTTTTTTTTTTTTTTTTACAATTTAGGCTTGTTAAGAGCTGGATTAAATGACAGAATTTTGATAGAGTTGGACAGGATTATACCTGCGTCAGGTAGGGTTACTGTAGCTATACAGTTTAGCAGTGTTATTTTCTTTTCCCCATTCCAGAGAACTTCAGGCACAGGAAACCTTACAGAATGGGCAGCTAGGATGCGGTGAAGGCATTTCGGATCTGCAACCAGGAATTTTAGCAAGCCAGGCAATGATTGAGAAGATCCTTAGTGAAGATCCAAGATGGCAGGGTAATGTTACCCTGTCTCCTTTCTCCGTTTCTTTATTGGTGTTTGACCTGATTTGTTGATCCTGGGTCTTCATCTGGGAGAAGTTCAAAAGCCTTTTTTAACAGAGTAAAGAATTGGTTTATATAAGTAGTATGGATATATGTGAACAAGTTGCACTGTCACATCTATATTCAGATTGCATTTTGAAAATGTTTTGTTTTGAAAACTTTTAATACGTCTTTTTCAGTTTACTTGATACAAGTGCTAATCTGTGTCAGTTGAATAAATGTTCTTAAAAGTCAGTAGGAGCTCTGTCTTGTGCTAAGTAGTAATGACTAGAGTCTTCATTTTTTGAGTCATTAATAGACTGTTTAATGGACTGTTATTCTTTGCTGAGCTTGACGAACAGGAATGAAGTAGAATTTTAAACAGAAAATTGGAGCAGAATATTAAAATACAAGAATGTCTTGAAAGCATTATATTAGATCTCTTAAAGAAAATCCAATTGCCCTAGTTTTGTTTAGGCTTTCAAAGTTGGTTCTTATGGTTTTGTTTAGACTTGCTTGTTATGTAGCCAAAGATGTTAGTATCAACTGGATATTGTTAGAGCTCTTGCCCAAATTTTACTTTAGAAAAGACTGCTGGGTACAATTACTTCCACAAAATTCATGTGGGGACAGTAACACAGGAAGAGGTCACGTGAAGGTGCTGTTTCTAAGGATTTCAAGGGGAGGTAATTGTATAATACTTTTCCCCTCTATATTTTTTAAATGCACTATAGGGTGAGTATTTACGTACTAATAATGTGTAGGTCTTAACTGTCAGCTCTAGATCAAAAAATATTGGATGTTTGACATAAAAAGACAGCAAAATTGACCAACTACAAGCACTTTTATTGCATTCCTTGCGTTGTGACAGGTCTGTGTTATATAATGTTGTATGGCTTTTCTCAATCCCTGTAAATATGGTGGGATTGCACATAGTTTCTGGGGATTGAAAATCATCCAACTAGTGATTTCAGCCTTATTTTCCTAAGCCTTTAATGAAACCATTGAAAAGGACTGAACAAAGAATAGGCTCCATGTGATACTCTGATTAATAATCTTTGCTATTTGAAAGTAAATAATTAATGAATCTTTGAGAATTTTTCTTCAGCTAGTTTTCCACAAATCCTACAGGAGTCTTGTAGTATTGTGCAGTTTGTTTTTGAGAACACCTCAGGCTAAAAGGTTTGGTGAAGTCAAGATACATGACATCGACTGCTTCTGTTTTACCTACATCCATTTTCCCACCTTAGGAGGAAGTTAGATTGGTTTGGCATGATTTACTCCTCACAAACCCATGCTTGCCATTAGCTAAATTGTACGTTCTAATTTATTTACTTGCCTCATTGTTCTTCTGAATTTTTCTGTTTCTAGACAGAACCTTGTTTGTCATCTCCTAGTTCTTCCTTCCTGGAACCAAAGATGTAGAGACAGAGGCAAAGGTAGAGAAGAGGCTCTAGAATTTGTCCAGGAAGATTTTACTGGACAGCCTTAACATGCCTTAACATGAAAGCAGTTTTGGTGAAATGAGGACTTTCAACACTAAACTTAGGAGAAATCCAGATATAAAATTGTATAAGTTTTTACTGTTTGTTTTACTAAAATGAATAATGTATTTTCAGGTATTAATTTTCAAAATGTTAGACGTATATAATGAGAATTTCCAGATAGTTTCTCTACCAATAGATTGCTAGTGCTTTATTTGTGTACTTTATTGTAATATTGCTATTGAATATAAAAGCAATGAAGATTGCCTTGCATGTAAATGCGTTAGACTTTTATTTAAAGAAATGCAGGAGTCAGTCTAAGTTTGTAAGAATGGAGGGGTCTGTGAATCATAATTTTTTTACAAAAAGCAGTGTGATGGCTAAGCTCGCTAAAGACACTCTGAATGCAAAAAATAGTTGTTTATTTCTCTTAATTGTTGACCTCTTTACAGACACAAATTTTGTATTAGCCGGCTACAAGACAGAACAATGTACCAAGCCACCCAGGCTCTGCCGCCAGGGTTATGCATGTCCACACTATCACAATAGTCGAGATAGAAGACGAAATCCCAGAAAATTCAAATACAGGTACATAAATACATATTAAGAATAGACTTTTTGGTCAGTCAGACAGTTGTTAATGGACCGATCTGTTTGGGTTCTTCTATAAGGCACTTGCATATTCCTAATGGAATAAAACCACATCTTTCCCAGTAGCCTTGCTAAAATTTGGGGGGGGGGGGAAAAGCATCTATTCAGAATGATCAGACAGTTCTGAAGACAAAAAATATGAAGCTGTAATGGAAATATCCTTCTTTCTTGTGAAGAACGAAAACAATTTCTATAATTCTTAGCAAAAATTGGAATCACTAGGTCAAACCTTCTTCATTATGAAAAGATCAATTATAATTTCTGTCTTTTTTTCTGATTTTGTTCTATAATTTTCCATTTCTGAGCAGTATTTATAGGACCTAAATTTAATGCATGTCCTCTCTTACTTTTCATCATTACATCATTCTACATCATTCTTGTACACTGTGGTTTCTTCATTGTTTCTGGTGTTTTTTCGTGCAGTGATAACAAGGTTTAGAATTGATGGGCTTTGCTTGACAGCCTCAGGACTGTGAATAAATGTCATTAGACAGAAGACAGATAGAATCCTACTAGCTCATCTTTCTGTCAAAGAATTTCCAAAAAGTCAGAGTCTCTCAGATTTTGCAACTTCATAGGTCCCAGAATCTTAAGATTCTGAGATTTAGTGGGAAATTGTTTGAGACTTCTGCTAGGAAGTAGACACAAACATGCTCTGGACATCACTTTTTTCTAGGTCCACTCCTTGCCCCAATGTAAAACATGCAGATGAATGGGGTGAACCTTCAAGGTGTGAAAGTGGGGATAGCTGTCAATATTGTCATTCTCGTACAGAGCAGCAGTTTCATCCAGAGGTAAGAACTACGTTTCTACTTATTTTTAGCAATTTCAAAATTATTATGGATTAGATTATTGATTGAAGATATTATATATGAAAAAACATGTGACATTCCATTCAACACTTCTAGTCGTTGAGGTATTTGCTTAAGCAAAAAAAAAAATTGTTAAGAAATAGTTATTTGTACTGCTGTGGTTTTCACTGATAGGCATTTCTGTTGTACCACTTGTGAAAAATTAAGTAATATTATCTGGATTTGGGCATAAATAAATATGTTCTCTTTTTTACCTAACTTCTTGGTTTGGTAATGAAGTCACAGTAGTAATTGATACTCAGTAACTTGGGACAAATTTCTATTTTAAGTAGAGTTGAAAAAGCTTTATTGCAAATAATTAAGAGAAACTGAATAGGTCAGGAAGAGGTGGAAAGAGCAGAAAACTCTCCTAGTGGCTGAAGTAAGACACTCCAGAAAAAACAAGGTGATTTTATATTCCTCTGTATGCAAAGTCACTGTAATTTTGTTGGATGGTTGAGGGTAACGGTGAAATGCTAGGGAAGAGAGCAGTGCCGTGCAATCTGCTGAGATTTAATTCTTATGCGACACTATGAAAATATTAAATATGCCAGTTAATGGAAACAAACATGATGCTGAAAAGACATGTTATGCTAGAAGCTGCCTGTACAACATTGGGTATCTGTTTTCATTTGGGGACCTTTGAATGGACATGAAGAATTCACAGCAGGATGTAATTTCTTGTATTAAAAAGCTCAATACTTAGTGAGGTATAAGCAAAGACCATTCAAGCAATTGCTAATTTCTCTTCCAATTATGAAGATTATTGAAGGCATCTCAAGACTATACTGGGAAAGGAATTCGTAGAATACTGACTCCAGGATTGTTGCAAGCTTCATATCATACATTCTCTATCATAAGTTGACCAGCTACATCTTTATACTAAATAGGTGTCACCTATCTCTACTCTTGAGATGCTGCTCCAGAATTTCACTGTCCTGATGACTAGAGGTTTTACAGTCCAGTTTTATTTCAGGTCATCTAATTTCTTCCGCATCACATTCCAGCCCTTTTCTGTAGTAAAGGTGACTTCCTGCTTGGTATTGCTACCATACTTTTATTTATACAAAGCTATGAATGAAAGTGCTGAAATAAGTCACAAGGCTGAGCCTTGAGTTCTGCTACTCATTTTGTCTGCTGCCTTCCTCTTTCATACCATCCATTGTCATCTCTCCATTAGTCAATTTAGCAGCAGATATGTGACATTGGGAAGAGTTATGTTCTTCATTATCTTAGTTAATGAATCTTACCACATCCTTTATTGAAGTCCTTACCAGAAAGACTGCATTTCCATTTTAGAGAAGGACCTTTATCAAAGTTATACAGTGAGTCTACCATGATGTGTCTTTGCCAAATGTAGTTCTAATTTTATCCCATTTTTTTCTGTCTTTAAATGGTGACAGACAGAATAATTAGTGGACGTGCAGTGGCCTGAATCAGCTACTTTTGCTCTTCTCAAACATATGTGAGCTATACTTCATATACCTCAGTTATACGTGCTACTTCTGATGTAATGGCTTTATTAAAAGTACTTGCTAACTGCATCTGTCTTATTTGATGATTTTTTAAAAGTTCTGACATAACAATTGCCTAATGCATCTCCTGTTCCTGAACTGATGGTGTTTTTGCTTCCACATCAGCTGTAGTCACCTCAGTCTTTGTCTACTTGCTTCCATTAGCTGTGCTGCCTTTGTTGTAGTGTTGAACATAATTCTTACTGATAATCAAGGTGGGCATAGTGTTATCGCCTCACCTAATTTTAGGTCTAATATTTAATTTCACAGAAACTAGCAATGTCCCTGCACCAAAAAGGGAGTTTTCATTCAACATCATACCCTGTGATCCTTTCCCTCCTTTGCTCCAGCTCTGACTTCGTCCAGTTGTGTGGTTAGAATGGAAATTCCATACAGCTTTTGTACCTCTGACTTGAGGATTCAAAGCACTCATTTTATTCAGTTCATAATGAAATTCAGTCTATTTAATGGTGGTCATCAGCTGCCTTCATTCCTCAGACAACTTATTTGATGTCATTAACATTAGTTCAGCCTTCCTTTTTTATGTCGTTTAATTTAAGTTGAATTAATACTCACTTTATCGAACATTATCTTCTCTTATTGGATGTTTTCATGTACTTGTTCTTTACCAAATTAAAATAAAGAATATTGTCATTGCCTTTTGGCTCAGTGACTATTTTTTTAAGAAATCTCTTGGTTATCACATTCAGGAATAGCTTGATTATACTGTTAATAGATAGCAGCCGTGTTCTTGTCTGTAGCTGGGAAGTTAGTCTTCTGTAATGATTTAGTTCTTTGAGTTTGCTGTCTGTCTTGTAATATCAGTATGTATAGATGACGTGGCCATCTCCCAAATCAGTCTTTGAGGTGCGAGCTCTGCCCCAGTAGTATTTTGATATTATCTATATTATCACTTCTTGTAGTTGTAGCATTTTCCAGAAGGCACTCTCCGCCATCTGGGTAGCTCATAGGATCAGGAAGGCTGTTTTTTGGCTAGGACCTCAAACTAAGACCGAACTTCCACTTTCTTCTGTTTAAACCATCTGGAAGTCAGCTCTTCTCATTTGTTTTCTTCTGCATCATTAGCATCGTGTATACATGTTTTGGGTTTGTGTGGTGGGGTTTTGGCAGTGGGAGAGGGGCTGCAGGGGTGGCTCCTGTGAGAAGCTGCTAGAAGCTTCCCCAGCTCCCAAGTCGGACCCGCCTCTGACCAAGGCCGACCCCATCAGCGAAGGTAGTAGCGCCTCTGGGATAAAAGATTTAAGAAGGGGAACCTGCAGCGGGGGAGGAGATTGGAATGCGAGAGAAACAGCTATGCAGACCTCAAGGTCAGTGAAGGAGGGGGAGGAGGTGCGCCGGAGGAGGTTGATGCCCCTGCAGCCTGTGGTGAGACGGCAGGCTGTCCCCCTGCAGCCCATGGAGGTGAGCGGGGGAGCAGATGCCCACCTGCAGCCCATGGAGGACCCCATGCCAGAGGGGGTGGGTGCCCCCGGAGATGGTCGTGACTCCATGGGAAAGCCCGTGCTGGAGCATTCTGTGACAGAAGATTGGCCCGTGCAAAGGATCCACACCAGGGAAGTTTGTGGAGGACTGCAGCCCGTGAGAAGGACTCACGCTGGAGAAGTTCATGGAGGATTGTCTCCCGTGGGAGAGACCCCTTGCTGGAGCAGGGCAAAAGTGTGAGGAGTCCTCATTGCAAACCCTGTCCCCCTGTGCCACCGGGGGGAGGAGGTAGAGAAAACTGGGAGTGGAGTTGAGCTGGGAAGAAGGGGAGGGGGGGGGAGGTGTTCTAAGGTTTGATTTTACTTCTCATTATCCTTGTTTTGATTTGATTTGTAGTAAATTAAATTGATTTTGTTTCTTCCCCAAGCTGAGGCTGCCTTTTGCCTGTGACCATAAGTGGTGAGTGATCCCTCCCTGTCCTTGTCTCAACCCACGAGCTTTTCTTTATATTTTCTCATCATCCCACTGGGGCCAGGGGAGGGAGGAGTGAGCAAGCGGCTTTGTGGATCTTTGTTACTGGCTGGGCTTAAACCACAACAATACAGCATTGGGGTTTTATATTTAACCAATATACAGAGAAGAGGAAAGAAAGGAGATGGGCCCAGCTTCATTTCCTAGTTTGGGTGTGTTGTGGTTTAACCCCAGCCAGCAACTAAGCACCACACTGCCGCTCACTCACTTCCCCCCCACCCAGTGGGATGGGAGAGAGAATCAGAAGGAAAAAGGCAAAACTCGTGGGTTGAGATAAGAACAGTATAATAGAACAGAGGAAAAAAAACCCGAACTAATAATGATAATGATAACACTAATGAAATGACAATCGTAATAATGAAAGGATTGGAATAAACAAGTGATGCACAATGCAATTTCTCACCACTTGCCGACCGACACCCAGCTAGTCCCCAAGCGGCGATCCCTCCTCCCCCGCTCCCTCAAGTTTATATACTACATGTGACTTCACATGGTATGGAATACCCCATTGGCCAGTTTGGGCCAGCTGCCCTGGCTGTGTCCCCTCCCAACTTCTTGTGCCCCTCCAGCCTTCTTGCTGGCTAGGCATAAGAAGCTGGAAAATCCTTGACTTAGTTTAAACATCACTTAGCAACAACTGAAAACATCAGTGTGTTATCAACATCCTTCTCATACTGAATCCAAAACAACACCATACCAGCTATTAGAAAGAAAATTAACTCTATTGCAGCTGAAACCAGGACAGGGTATGGTATCCACAAATGACTCCTTCATTTTTTGCAATGTCTGTGTTAGCTCCTGGTGAAATTGATGGAAAGATCAGTCCCGCTGTTTTGTTGAAGTGTGTCATTTGGGTGAATACTTGCCTACAGCATGGACGTTTTGTTGCTTTTTCAGTGTTCAAGGAAAAATAAATCCTTTGTAGAGTGCTAAGCATCAGTAATAATTTTGTGATTTAGCATTTTGCTGTAGTTTCTTGGATGATCTTTGGGTTATGCATGAACTAGTAGTGAATATAGCAACTAAATTTTCAGCCTCAATTCAAAATCATGTATAAGAGGGAAATTTATCTAAATGCTTAAAATGGCTCTAAAATAAAGAGCTTATAGAACTAGTTGTTGATTTTTTTAAATATATAGTTTCATTTTTTCATGTTTGCTCTAAGGTGGGAGTCCAAGGTAAACATTTTTTTTACACAGCATATGGAAAAGTGCCCAAGAAGTAGCATTCTGAACTAAGAATTATTACGTATCAAGCCGTGAATCTCTCGACTGACACTGAAAGCCAAAGACCACAGTACCAAAGTTTGGGGAACCAAAAAGATCCCTCTGCTATTTGCCACAGACTTGAAAATCACCAGGATTAGTTTTCTAAAGAACTTATGTGCTTTTAAATAGTTTCTTAATATTGTTCTAATATGATAGTATGTCAGCCCCTCCTCCCAGCCTTGTGAGATCCAAAGATCATCAAGATCCTGGTAGAGCAATAAACTGAGTCTGGATCTTACTAGCAGCTTACTTATATAATCATTACTGTCATGAACAATCTGTATTACTTCAGTTCTCATGCACCCAGTCAGATTAGAGAAAGACATTTGAATGTTAGGATGATTTGAGTATTAGAGGTGTCCTAACAAAGGAACTGTGTTGAAAAAAACATACTGGGTTTTTTTTTCTTTGGCTGTGTAAGCTGCTCTACTATATACATCATTTCTCCTGCAAGATTTCTTAAAAGTGGTGTAAAAGACTCTGAAAATTTTATTCTCGATGTTTGACTTGTTTCTGTACAACATGGAAAACCAAAGTAGTTTAAACACTGCTTTTTTTAAATACTATTGTTACTTACTATTTATTATTACACAGAAGAAGGTTAAGATGCTCTTGTCTTGGGTTTGCTTTTCTTAAAATTCTGCTCTTCTATTTGATTTTTAAACATGATCATAAGAACTGGATTTTCTGAGGAAACTGTGTAATACATATTGTTAGTAAAGATAAAGAATTTTTCATTTAAAGGTTTTAAAATTTTCTAACTATTTTGTCGTTACATAACAATGTTTAGGTTAACCACCCTTCTGTTTCGTTTAGATATATAAATCTACAAAGTGCAATGACATGCGCCAAACAGGTTACTGCCCACGTGGTCCATTTTGTGCGTTTGCACATGTTGAAAGTAAGTAAGAGAACTGTTATTTTGTATCAGTGTTCACAAAAATGAACCATAATTTCTAAGCATCAGTAACAGAAGTGACTTAACATCGTTAATTTTAATGCATGAATGGCATTTGATGTCACTTGTTTTTAGAAATTTATTTCATGTTTTCTAATACCGTACATTGCTACGGGAGCTTGCTGCATTTGCATCAAATTTGCATCAGCAGTAAAACAGGAGGTGCTTTTCTTTACAAATGCAGCTTGTCCCTGTAACTTTTTGAACTTGATTTGGCAATTTGCTACACACACACACTTGATTTTTTAAAATATATTAGATGTCCTATTGAAACCTATAGTAAACTTCTCAGGTAAAAGTTAAACATCCTTGCAAGTATTTGCAGAACTAGGGCCCTAGCTAAGCTGAAAAAGAACATAGAGAAAATTACATCAGCTGTCCTTTTTCCTCCGTAGCCCACTTACATCTTCACTGAGCTCAAACTGTTATATACAGAAAAAGGGAAGAGGGACCATTTTTTTCCAAGAGCGCTCAATTCTTTGGTATGCATCTACACAGATTAATTCTGGGTGTGCATCATCAGATTCTTTTTAACAGTAGCGTCAACTTAGGCTACCCCTACGCACTTCCTGCACTCCAGAATGTGAAGCGTGCAGTTGCTGCAACTATTCGTGCCTTCTTTTCAGTTGTGGTGCAAGGCAGAACTTGAAGCGTTTCTCTGTAACTGGTTTCTTATAGGTGATAAATATTTTCTTTTTTGATTATGTAGTTTTTGCTTGATTATGTAATCAGTAAAACCTCATATTTATTCTTCAAAAAGAAAAAAAAAAGGTCTCCTCCTATCTTACTTTTTGCCTTCTGCTTCTAGAGCTGGAAAGAGATGAGAGACCCTACCAATTTTGGAAACCTCCAAAGTTCTGCAATCCAGTAGTATTTATCTTATGATTCTCTAATGATAAGTAATGGCAGTCTCCTCTCTCTGTCCAACCTGTCTAGGCAAATGTGATGTTCTATGCAACCATTTATTGTGTCACTTGCTTACCTAGAAGACTTCCAGTGAATAGTCATTCTTGCTGCCCACAGCTCTTGTTTCTGAGAATCTGTGGTATGGTCAACTTGTCTTTTAACTTCTGTGGGATGATCCATTTTACTTTTCCATGGTTTTGTTACTCAAAGAGGAGGAAGGATCAATAACCTCCTGTATTTATTTCAAGAAGCCCATTATTCTAAGACCTAGCAATTCTTCAAAACATTATGGCAGTGACATCAGTATCGACTGTTTCTTCACATCAAAAGTAGCTCACTGCCTTTGCTTTCGTGCTGTTGAGGCTATCTCCTAAATCAAGTCCTTCACTGTTTGTCAGCGTTGGCAAGTACTTCTTTGACTCAGGAAAGTCTGAAAATACACATTTTGTTACAGAAGTGATTTATGGCACTGGGTTTACTGTTCTGTTTATCTGATATAAGTTTTTTCGGTCCTGAAACAGCTGAAAGAGTATGATTTAAACAAATTAATTGAATACATGCAGCATGGTATAATTGTGACATGCTACAAAACTTCTGTGGGAGAAGACTACATTTTCTCTGTTTTCTTCCTTAGAGCATACTGAATGCTGCCTCCCTTCTTGCCTCTCCAGCATGGCAAGTGTACAGGATAAACTCAGCAGAGCTCTTGGAGATTGGAGTTCTTTTGAGACCCCATCATGATCTGCTTCTGTGTGTCTTGATCATTAGTATCTTTAACAGTCCAGTTGATGCTTGATTCCTATGAGAGGAATCATTCTCGCAGGAAGCTGTCATTGGCAATAAACAAGATTTCCATCTCTAAGGAAAAGTTAAGCATTGCCCAGGCTAAAGATAAAGAGGGCTGAAGAAAAGTCCAAACTTAACAATTTGCTGATGTTATTCTCCCTAAGTGATATCTTTCTAATCTGTTGCTAATCCTTCTACCCCAGACCCGTTCTTTCTTCTACTTTGTAGGATGAATTCTTGTACTCTTTAAAAATCTCCAGAACTCTGAGAGAATTTCTGAGACTTTGAACATGTTAGCAGTGCTAATTGAGAAGCAGCAGCTTAATTTTCTCCACATAGTTGCATTAGAAATAATTTTATGTCCATCAGAAGAGACTTATGTGGCTCAACCAGCACGCTCTGGAACTCTTTGGCTTGTATCATCTGGAATGAAGACTGTGTAAGCAGGAAATCTCAACACATAAACTTGAAATCTTGCAACAGTACCCACCCTCTGTCTCTGGCAGTCTGAACAGTCCATCAAAAGTTAGATGTTTGGTTACTATCAGCAAGAGTGCCTTTCTATTGTTAGCAACAGCTTTAAGCTTAGTTCAGCAGCTCTGAAATTCTGCGTCCTGTGTGCGTAGAATAAAATAGTTTCTGTCCCTTCCATATATTAGGGAAGGAGGAGAGAATGGTTTCAGGGCTGTAGATATCATCCGTATGAAAAGCCTGAAACTCTTGGTTCATGGATCTCTTTGAATCACAAATTATGGGTGTTCCCCACCTAACTTCAGTGAAACCCTAGCTATGTGGAACAGGTAGAGGAAGATTTTCCACCGTTCATACATGTTTGTCAGCAATTTTTATCATTCTATGTGAAATAATTTGTGGAAGCAAACATTCTCTATAATAGCGTTCCTGGTCTTCCCTCAATGACTACCTCAGAAACAGCTGGCCATTTTTTTTCCTGTTTTTTTCCCTGCTTTGTGAAGATCATGAGGAATATTGCTGTTCCTCCAAGACTGCATTTCCCTTGAGGCCCTGGCTGCAGACAGTATTGTCTTATAAATGTCACTTGTTTTTTACCCCACTGGCTGAAGCCCTAGGTCCACTGTAGTCCCAAAGACACTTTGTGATGACAGGAGGGAGAGCACCTGATCCTGAAAAGTAGAGAAGTAGTGGGATCTGGCATATCTCCCTGACACCCTCTGCAAAACAGAGAGTAGCTAGGGTATGTTGGGACACTTCGGTAAAGGGCACTTTTAAAATAACACCTCTCTGTGGCACTCATTTGTCCACTGACTGCCTGACTACAACTAGCACCTCAACAAAAATAGATTTTTTTTTTTAAACACAAACATGGGCAGGCTGAAATTCTGCTGGCAAGAATTTGGAAACACTTCAAAGAACACATCTCCTGTATAACAGCTTCTGTTACTGAAGGCATTTGTCTTCAGATTGTTCGTCCAAGACTGTTCTCTTCTATTGGTGCCAAGATTGCAATGGTGAAGAAACTTACTTCTGACTTCATGAAAGATGGGATTCCCCAGGCCAGACCTAGCCTGACTGTGGTAACTCTTACATTTGTAATACCCAAGCCTTGTTAGTGCAAATTCTAAGGAGGCTATGTAGCTGAAAAAGTTGTATCTCGTAAAGAGTGCAACCCTATTTCTACATAACATCCTAGGCTACTGATACATAATCCCTGAAGCACCACTGCACTGGCATTAGGTAGCTGAAGTTCTTTTTGAGGGCTCTATCCTAATCTCCACAAGCTTCAGTGATCACCATGAGAGAGGCCACCACATGAGACTGTTGCTTTTCTGCCAGTTGCAACGGTCTTTGAGAAAACATGGTTAGACTAGGGCAGGCTTACACTGTAGAATTTGTAACTTTTGTGCAGCTGGCCTCAAACTATGATGTTCACTCTTGGAAGAAATTAGAATGATGTAGAAGAACACATTCTGAATTTAATGTGCCTGTTTGACTTAATAAGCAGAATAGCAAGAACTAGTCGTGTTATTATTCTCCCTAAATACCTTGGAAAGAGAAAGGAGAGATTATTTCTCTTTGAAGTGTTTGGAAAGCAGTCTTATACTACCCTTTTAGGGTGGTATGATTACTTACACTCATTTGTAGAACATTGGATGAGTATGTGGTGGTGTCAGGGAAAAAAAGCTAATGAAGGATTTAAGAGAGAGTACGAATCAGATAGTGCTTTTCCTATGACAGTGTGAGGGTTGACTGGACATAAGATGGCTGACTGGACTTGCTCTGGGCAACCAGCTATACAATGAGATGATACATAGTGAAAGTAAGAGTAAATTACAAAAAGTCAGTGCATCTGTTTCTGTCTTCCCAACTGTTCTTTGCACTCTCATTCTGTAGGAGGAACAGCAAGGGTCTGGTGATATCATCTTTGCCATCCCTATGGTTTCTTTTTCCTTTTCTTTTCTTTGGGTGTGGCTGGATTGGACTTGTGTGTATAGTGGTACTTACTAGTAGCTTTTTTGCTCTCTCTTTTGTGAGCCACGTCCCTATTTTTGTAACTTATACAGTAGTGGAAATATGTGGTAAAGCATTGGACCGTATAGTAAGAAGGCCGCAGAGCTGTGATAGATCAAATGCTAGGTAGAAAAACCCCACATCATTAGAAACAATCTTCAGCTATGCAATCTCCACTGAAGAGAGGTGTCTACGTATCTCATTCTCTTTCCTACTATGGCTTGTATTTTCATACGCTCTATCAGAGCTACTTACTGTTTCTAGTAGAGAGAAATGTTTACATTTGATTTTTAACTGTAGTTTATCACTACACCTTCAGAAACGCACTAGTGGCTAGACATGAAAAAAATCTTGCCATACCTATAGAATTTATTAAGAGATTTTGTTTTCAGTCCTGACTTCCTTACTTTGATGTCTTGTGTGCATGGATCATGAGGTGAGGAATGTTATTAACTGTAATTGCTTACTAAAGTAAACATTTTTTGTTAACTCATCGTTTGCCTATAAAGCTAGAGGTCTAAATCTCCTTAATACATTGCACATTTAAAGAATCAAATATCTAAGATGTTTAATAGTTTAACAAAGTAGCCCTTGGGGAATTGCGAAGTAATTGTTCAGTCACCTTGAGCTGAATTTTCTGGTATGAAAATTAACAAGTCATTGGTCACAATTTACGTGTAAGTTAATAATGAACTTTCTCAAAGGTTATTGTTCCTTTTAAGTTAAATAGTACAAGTCCTATATTCTCTTCAAATTGTTTTATGGTTAAGTCAATTGGTTCTAGACTGGAAAAAGAGAACAAAGAACCCTGTAATTACGATGCCATTGTTACCTTTCCAGTCAGCAGTTCTAAAAATGTTGCTTTTAAACCCTGGTGTGATAGAGATTCAGGAAAATAAAGCAAAATCTAGAATACTTTAAATATATTAATTTCAATCTACCTCCCACCATTTTTTTGATGGAGCAAGTAAATAAGAGTATCGCATTTGTTAGTAGCCACAAATACATAATGGTGAATTATATTATTCTTACCTTGCCTTTGTGCTTATATTTAAAGAAAAAGAGATTTCTTGTGTGTGATTGATGTTTCCATGTGACAGGTGCTGTGTTTGGTAGTAGGCATGTAATTGTTAAATTCACACAGCTAAGTATCAAATCTGTGTGTAATTTGTTGGGGATTCCTTCAACAGAGGACACCATGAATGTAGTCATACTGCAAACTGGTTGTCAATCAAAGCCAGGCGCTCACCTGTTTTCAACAGACAGCATAGGAATTGCAAATGAATGGAGCAGCAGTCTTAACTCCACAAACAGCATTACAAATAGCAGTGGGCAGTCTGGAAATGTAAGTGTAAATAATTCTGGAAAAGTTACTACTAATAATTACTGTACCAATATACAATGTTTATTTTATTTCTTAAACGTCTGTTTTTTATTTCTTTGTACTTCAGCAAAAGAGAAAAAAACCACAGCTATGGTAATGTCAGGCAGTAATATTAAACTGTTACTGTAAGCCTAAATGGAACGTCTGCCCTTAGCACCAGATTTAACTATGTATTATTTGTGTTTTCTGTTCTTTTTTTTTTTTTTTGTCTTTAGATGCGATATTTTGAATGCTACAGTGAGGAACATAATTTTTAATCAAATACACAACTACAGGACAGCTTAATTTACATATGTCTCTTTTTTCTATAGGAAAGGTTTCATTCATGGAAGATCTTGCTTGATCCCAGCCCTCTTCTCTGCCCTAATTTGTTAACATTAGGAATTAATTGATGTCCTACGTGAACATGGTTTATACTTAAAGCTTCTTACAGTGGTGCAGTACATGCAGTGTGTTTGGTAGTGGAGAGGTGTTTGATTATGAGGGTGATAAATGTAGTTCATATTAGCAATTTTTTATCAGCTAAAGATGGGGGAGAGGAAGGAAAAAGATATATTGCAGAGCTTTTATTATCTTCGTTTTAGTACCAGTTGGAACAGATCCTTTTGTTAGGTTTTATGTTTGTTGTAAAATACTATATAAAGATAGTGACATCTCTCTTGTTCTCTCCTGACTTGCTTTTTTCTTACCTCATTTGCAGTGCAGAGTCATAAGTATATACACATTTATCCCCAGAATTTTCACTTCTGACTTTCCAGCACTGTTGTCTATGCTGTTTGGTTAGAAACCAGGTAAAAGGACATATTTTAAATAGTGTTTAAAAAGAATGGCTAATAAATAGTGCAGTTATTGAAACTCCTGGGTTTCTTTCATGTAGCTTCATATTGCTGTACTGTAGATTGAGGATAAAGATACCAATATGCCTACATTTTATTTTAGGTTCCCAGTGCAGAAGTCTGCTTCTGTATATGAAAGGTTCTCAGAAAGGTTCTGCCTTTTTATTTAGGAAGCTAATTTTGTTGTTGATAAGGTTCTGAAGCTTTCAGGGGAGACCCATAAAAGCACCTTTTCTCCCAGAAGCTTCTTAGCCTTTCCTGAATGATTTAGGTACAGCTGAAAACCCTAACAATTCTGATATGCCTTCCAGCTATGTGGAATCTTCTTCCAAATACATGCATTTTTCTGTTAGTCATTAAGAATCTCATGAACATTGTGTACATTTTCCATTCCTTGCTCACTGAGTCTCTGCCTGTATTACTGTTCAAGTGTGAAAATGGAAAAGGTGACCCCACTCCCTTCCCTGTACTTGAAGTTTCATTGCAAGTGGCCACCTTTTTTCTGATGTCTGACAAAATATTCTGTCTTTCTTTCACTGTACTACTTACCTGCAGCATTGTTTGATGCACTTCCACTATTTGGTTTTTTTTAATATTCAGTTCCCGATTTTTCATTAGCAGGTTGGTCTTCTGTTTTTCCGTGTTTAATCCTTGAATTTTGTTGCTTGCTTGCTTTCACCTTCTCCATCTGCTGTAAACTGCTTAATTTTAGTATTTAAGTAGTCAGTCTGTTTCACTGACTCCCCCCATTTTCTGTATCGCAGCAACATATTTACATTTGTGTTTTGTGTTTTTCTCTCTGTTCTAATAAGCTCTCTGTCTTTGTCCCCTCCTTCATCTTCATTCTCATCACTGTTAGACACTGGCCCTGAGTAAACTTAATTTTAGTGGGTTTTATCATGATGAAATTAGACTTTCTAAACCTATCTTCCTTTGTGTCTTCAAAACAAAATCTCCCTGTTCATCTTCCAAAACTTCTTTCACGTATACTGTTACAGTACGCTGGGAGAGTATCCTACTGTTCTATTTGCTTCTGGAGGAAAAGGATGATGTAGTACCTGAGAGACCTAAACTCAGTTCTCTGCTTGATCATAAAATTCCTCTTTGAGAGCAAGTTTCTTAGGTCCCCATTTCTAGAATGTGGTAATACTATTGCCCTATCTATAAATGTTACTGGAAGAATGAGTCCATTAAGATTCTGTATGATCCAGGTTGATAGTGAGGGAGACTGCATAACTGTTTTAAATATATACCTTCTTGTCTCACCTATACTGTGTTCTTATGTCTTTATCTAAGTTGTCTTGTCAATTGGACTGTCATCAGTCATTCCTCTGCTGTATCTTTCCGTAACATTTCAGTCAGAAAATAATTTACTCTTCAGCCTTTTTTGGTAAGTGTGAGTTCAGTTTCCATGGAGAGCTTCTACATTTATGTTTCTTTACCTCCATGTTTGAAGCATCTAACATTATACTTTTGTCAGTCCCTTCACCTGATCTGTGATAGTACTGTTTTTCTCCAGTCTGTCTTCGCAGTTCCCTTTGCTTTATACTCCACCAGTTGTATCATCTAAAGGTACTTAACCTCCACAATGCAGTTTACCCAGTGTGGTACAGTATTTCCCTTGATTGTAATTTTTCATTTCAGTTAGTACTACTTGTTTCTCCACACTTACCATCACCTCTTATCTTTGTTTTTGTTGTGTTGCTCTAGCAAGTCCTAGATTGGCTTTCTTGGCATACCCATTTTTTCTCATACTGCATCAGAGGTGTGAAGTGCCTTAAGTAAGATTCAGAGTCTTCATATGCATTGTAGCAACAAATTCACTCATCCTTTTCCCAGTCCTATGTGTCTTCTTTAGGAGCTGCATTTACACCAGCAACTTTTACTTTTAGCTCTTATGCTTGTTCTTAACCATTACTACTCTTTTGTGCTCTGTTCAGTGTCATCTAATTGCCAGAAGGAACGCTCCTTTTTACTCATTCTCCTACTGCTCTTTTTTTTATGACATAAATTTATTTTCTTTCACTCTTTATTTAACTTTAAGAGGGTCTTCCTTATTGTTTCTTCTTTTGCACTGGTAAAATTCAGCTGTCTGAACTCCTCAATTATGGGAAATTATAGTAGACAAGGTTTCTTGAATATTTCTGTGCATACAAGTCTTGAAATAGCTTGATCCATGTTTCAGATACATTGCTTGCACTGTTTAAACTTTGATGCCCTACTTCATTAATGAAGTCGGTTATGTTACCACATCTTCGTGTTTACTCAGATTTCCATTACTCCTTGCATGTCCTTCCATGAATCTTCAGCTATGTATTGTTTCATCATCCAGTATGCTATGTACCCCTTTTCCTCAGACACTTTTGCTATCTAGCTCTTTCCTCAGTCACCTTTGCTAAAATAATCTCTCTGGCATGCAGTCCCCTGCATCCCATACATATGCATTGTTCTCAGCCATGAGCTTCTGCCTCACCTGAATTTCATCCCTTCATTTCAACTGTTCTCATTTATATCCTGCATATTTATTGCACTTTAACATACCTAAATGGTGTTTTCCTATGTCTTGTTTATTTTTCTCATAGTGCCATGCGAGTTGGATTAACTAGGCTGTCTCAGTGTGTGCAACCATAGTCATAGTTGCTGCTTTGTATGCTTTCTCTAGCTGGTTGATTAGCTTTCCAGTGTTATTGTATCAATACAAAATGCATATTCCTTTGAGCAGCTTTTCAGCCAAAAAATGTCAAGAATCTTATTACTTCTTAAAACACGCTCAGCTCATGTTTTAGGATTATGCTGCTGATCTCCATATATCAGGTCTCTCTGTTACTGGTAACTAACTGCAGTGTACCTAAGTTCGGTGATGATGCAGACCAAAGGCCTAGCTGTATGATAAAATTTGTCTGTAAATATTGTTCAAGTTTGTGGCACTGCAAAATTAATAGGAAAACTTGCTGTTTATTCTGGAGATGAAATAGGAGATACATCAAAGATTAATTGCATTTATCAATTACGGAATATTTATGTTAGCCCTTCTAGGCTCAGAGCAATAAATCATAGTTTCCTTTTGAAAAATAAAAAGATAGAAATGTTGGCCATGATGTCATTATGCCCGGAGTCTGTGATGTATTTAAAAGATTGAATATTTGCATAGGATATACGTTGATCACAATGGATGAAGACAGGATAATCAGCACCATCTTTGTTTTATCAAGTTTATCAAAGATGTGTAAGTACTTGATCACGTTTGAGTTAGCACAGTTAAGAAGTCAGCGCTTGTCAGCTCAGTTGTGGCAAAGATTGTGTGCCTTCATAGCTTGTCCTGATTGCAGACTTAGTGCTAATATTCTGCTGCCTTCGTTAAGCCTCAAGTTTTCTCTTTTACTTCGTAACTAAGATGGCTTGGCTGCGTGCTCATGATCAGTTACCACACTCATTTGGTAAATAATAGTTTATTAAGCTGTGATAATGCAACTGAGTTTGATTACGTGTGCATAATCTAAGTGTGAACAATGGTGATGAGTCATGCTTCCTTTACTGTGGAATTAGTGTTCTGAGACAGGGATGTAGGAAGGAAATAAGTTACTTGAAGGCAGAATTAGTTTTACAGCTTAAAAGTACCTACGTTTCCTCTTCCTGTCATCTTCCCTGCCACCCCCCACAAATGTAGGCAATATAACAGTACATTTTAAGCCACAAAATATAATGCAAATCAAGAAGCTCAAGAAGCTGCTATTTTCACGGGAAATATAACTAGTTTTATAGGTATATGTTTCCTCATTTTCTTTGTAGAAGATCAGCTGTAAGCGGAGACCTAGCATAGGCAAGAACCAAGGGAAAGAATGTATCACTTGTTCTGCATGCTCTTTTTCTAGGTAATTTAGCTGCAGTGACGAATAGTGACAAATTATTTCTTTGTAAGAATGTAAGAGTGACAAATTATTTCTTTGTAAGAATGTAAGAGGCCAAGGTCTGTGTGGTTACAACAATATGAGTATGTGACCCTTGTTAAGGCAAGCTTGGAATCTTTTGACTTGTGGTGTGTCAGAAATGTTCAGGTGTCCTCCTATGGCCTTGAGCAAAGACGCAAAATTGAAAAAGTTGTTCTTTTGTAACCTCTGTGAAAGTGAGAGGTAATCTGAAATGTATCCAGCTGCAGCATTTAAGCTTAAAAATGAATCTGTGAAGATTTACAGCTGAGACTCTGGAAAGTAAGGAATGTCACCGAGTACTGGTCTTAAAGCAGACTCTGAATCCTTAGGGATTGAACTGTGTCCTTGCTGTGCTTACGTCTGACTACACAGCACAGCAGATTTCCATTTTTAGGAGGGACACATTCCTGAAGAGTACTTAGATCTGTTTGGCCTCTTTATCCCACACACAGAAAATCAAATGCCACAAATCTTAAGTTACATTTGTCGAGCGGTTTCCAAAGATCATGTTGGAGACTTGCAGTGTTGAGGCAACTGTATGAATTCTAGCTTCTGTTGTTTGTGCTTCTGTCTTAATAAAGAAGAAAAAGACTAAAAAAAAAACCAACTAACAATTGGCAATAGATTTTCCTAGCATCAGTAGTGCTGAGGACATTGCTATTCATGCCAACACTGATGCCAAAATGTAAATTCTGGAGCATTGAGAAACAAAAAGTAAGCATTGCTAGTTTCCCTTCTCCCCTCTTGCACTCTTTTTGTCTCTAATACCGATATCACACTCATTTTATGTTAGTACTGACATATGACTTCATGTTAACTGTGAAACACACGTCCCTCTTGATACAAAATACATGTTCGCTCACCATCTTGGCGTCAATACTGCACTAAGTTGTATGGCTGTTTCTAGTGATAGGTTTCTTGATATTTCTCAGATGTTCTTTGTATCTTACTCTGTGCAAAGAGCATGAGAAATGAGAGATATAGGAGCAGTGGTCTTGTGGGTATTCTGTAGCAAGCCATAAGGGATGAATCAATATTTGAGAATAAATTCTCTCTTCTCACGTGAGTGGCAGTGTAACCTGTATCCTGGTTTCTCTGTGGAGTCCACCTAGCCTTGAGTTGTAGAGAAGATGCTTCTTACAACCCTGGACAAAAAGGAAGAGAGTCCTGATCAATGTTGATGTTTTTGGACAGAGTATCTTCACCAGGCCTGGAGGAGTCTCTCGCAGAGGGAGGGAGATGGTCCAGAAAGTCCTCCATTTACTTTCTCTGCCTCAAGAATTATCTTTGATGGCCATAGATAACAACCAGGATTGGGTATTCTCCCTGAATATCATCTCCTCTTGCCTCTTTTGGCAACAGGATATTAGTCTGGGTCTAACCCAACAGGACATTTCTTACATTCTTACTAGGGGGATAAACATACAGTATAGGGGCAGACAGGAGATAGAGTCATCGAATCATTTAGGTTGGAAAAGACCTTTAAGATCATTGAGTCCAACCTTAAACCTAACACTGCCAAGTCCACCACTAAACCATGTCCCTAAGTGCCACATCCACAAGTCTTTTAAATACCTTCAGGGATGGTGACTTAGCCTGTCAAATGCTTGATAACCCTTTCAGTGAGGAGATTTTTCCTAATAGCCAGTCTGAACCTCCCCTGGTGCAATTTGAGGCCATTTCCTCTCATCATATCACCTGCTACTTGGGGAAAAAAGACTGACACCCACCTCACTACAACCTCCTTTCAGGTAGTCATAGAGAGCGATAAGGTCTCCCCTCAGCCTCCTTTTCTCCAGGCTAAACAACCCCAGTTCCCTCAGCCACTCCTCACAGGACTTGTTCTCTAGACCCTTCAGCAGCTTCATTGCCCTTCTTTGGACATGCTCCAGCACCTCAATGTCTTTCTTGGTGCAGTGTCACCAGTGCTGAGTACAGGGGAACAATCACTTCCCTAGTCCTGCTGGCCACAATATTTCTGACACAAGCGAGGATGCTATTGGCCTTCTGCTGCCTGGGCACACTGCTGGCTTGTATTCAGCTGGCTGTCGACCGACACCCCCAGGTACTTTTCTGCCAGGAGGAATAAATTCTAGATAGTAACTTGAGACCAAAAAGAGTGATTTTTCAATGTAGTTGCCTTGTAAATTCAGGCTAGGTTTGAATTATTTTTTTTTCTTGCTTGTGTATTTAACCTACCATGGATGTTATGTGACCCATTTTCTTTTCCTGCTTCATTTGCATGAGTTCTTTGTATTTTCTTTGCAAGTTGAGTCACACAAAATTTGTGGTAGTGTGTAATCCAGTTATTAAAACTTAACTAACTATTCTTTTCTGAAAAATACAAAAGACAGAGTAGAGGCTATCTCTGTCTATTGTCATCCTGGTGGACTCTTCAGAAATTAAGAGCAAAAGCCTAAACATTAATGTAATCAGATAATGCTGCCTGCATCTTAGGGGGTTGAGCAATTGTTTTAGTTTAGTTTAGTTTTTCAGAGCAAAACTACATAAAATTGTAAGTTCTTGATGCTTACAGTTATATATATATGTTAATGCTACCACTGATACCTACTGTAAACAGAAGGATCACGAGCAGCACCTTATGGTCTTACGTAATGGACTACATACCTGGTATCATCTGATCTGGACCAGTAACTCTGTACCTCAAGCCCAGTACTTCTGGGTGAACATTTATGTTCTGGGTTCCTTCTGGGTTCCCCATTTATGCCTCTGTTGTCTGCAGGTAGCCCTCCAGGACAAGTAATCCATAATGGCTATCTTAATTCCTCCCTCTTCCCCGATCTTCATTAGGTCACATTGTAGGGAGCAACCATGATGTACATCTTCCTGTGTCGGTAAAATAATCTGTGTTGCCTGCCTAGCTGAAAGAGTGGACAAGAAATACACACCTGAGAAACATTCTGTGCAGATTAGGGAACTCATCCTTAAATAGAGTCAGTAGCTTACCTAAATTAGTATTTTACTTTGGGTGTTAGTCTGCCTTCACTGTCTAGTCATTTTATCTTCCATATTTGCTGCATTAAGCAGCCTTGTGCTACCAGAAGTATGTTTTTAAGTATACTTACAAGATGTAACTATGTTATTCGTAAAAAGTTTTCAAAATTTTTTGATATGGAACTGAATACCTTAGCACATTTTTATTGACAAAAAAAAGAAAAAAAAATTAAATTTCACTTAAAGAGCAATGTTTGGGTTTTTTCCTGGCAGTGTCCTTTTATTTTCCTTTCCTCTTTAGCATAAAGAAAGGATTTCAGTATTTTAGAGGTGAAAAAATGTGCAAACTTAGCATCACCAGGCACAGGGGCAATCCTCAGTTTTGGATTTAGAGTAAACAGTAACAGAAAGAGAAACCTTGCATGTTGTAACAAGCTTGTGGTCAAAACACGAATTCTTCAGCCTTTGACTTCAGACGGAATTTTGTCTGAGTAAAGCTTGGCTATCAATTTAATTATTTTTGCTGTGGTGCCCACTCTTCTACTTCTGTCAGCTCTCAGGGTAAACGTACATTTCAGACTGTTGTGTAGAGAAGCTATCTTTGGATTTCAGAAGCAATCTAATTACAGACCTCCACACAGATAAGGTTCGTGGTGGGACATTTTCTGTAGGGATAGGAGTGAGTGAATGCATAGGTAATAATCTTCAGCAAGTATAGGGCTTACATGTGTTGGAAGTGGTTTTTTTCTGTCTAGGGTTAAGACCTCATCTAGGGTCATGCCTGTCCTCTACCTGATTCACAGGAATTTGAATCTGAAGTTCCTGCAGCTGAGGAGGGACATTTTGAGGTTATACTATTCTGGGGAGAGAGGTGTCTCTTGCTAAAATCCTGATTTGCTTAAAATACTTTCACATTCTTTGGAGCATAAAGTAAAATTAAGGGTTAGGGTTAGCCCTAATTTAAGAGTTTAACAGTAAACTGTATAGTTATTCTTGTTTAGCCTGTCTGATCCGGTGTGTATTTTGTATTTAAGCAAACCAAAATAACTTTAGCAGAATTTCACTCCATTATTGTATCGACTGGTTCAGTTCCCTTGAGAGCTGGCAGATTCTGTTCTGAAACAAGCACAGAAGGGATTGAAATGTGTATCATCACTGAGTGTTCTCACCACTGGGCTGTTAGACATAAATGTAGGATGCAACTATTTCCATACTGCCTTTGTGAGTCTAGTTATAAATCTAGTTTACAAAAATTGAACTGTTTACTTAAAAAATATAGAAACAAGCGATGCCCACAGTTCCACTCAAACATGTTATTGTAGGATGCTGGCACCTGAGTTCATAAATTTCAGGTTGATCAGAATTGTACTTTTAGCAAAAAAAGTTGTCCAGATCTACTTCCAGATTGTACCTTCATCTTAAGCCTTTTACTTTAGAAGTTTAAAACTCTCTGGAAAATGTACAGCAGAACTAAAAAATTATAATTTCAGTCATGTTTTTAAATATTGAAATGTTAATTTATTAATCAATGAACATTTTAATATTCAAGAATCTCAGAAACCAGCCTTTTGAGATTTACAAACAAGCATTGAGATGCTTTTTGCCAAGATTCTACATGTCTCTTTCTTTTTGAACTGCTTGGCTTGATATAGATGAGTTCTTTTAAAAGAGTGAAATGTTGTATAATGCTTGCATTAAACTGTAAATTAAGAAATATATGAAAGAGTGGAAATCACGTTGTCAGAAAGCAAGTATTCCTTTATTGTAAATTAATTTCCATTAAGTAGAGTAATCTCCGCCTGGGATTAATTTTGTGCATAGGGACCAAACAAGACTATATTCTGGTGTGTACAAATGCATCTCCTTTTGAAGTCTGTATATGTACAATAGCTCCCTGTTACTTTTGTCATCTGCTACTTTTTTAAGCTAATACCAAAAAAACAAAGTTAATGTTGTATTTACATAAGACTGAAATTAATTTCTAATTTCAACTGATTGTGTTACAGAGGGAGACTAGCTGTAAACATAAAAAAATATCATAGAGTATATTAGACAGTGTTTTCTGTCTTCTACAGATTTCCTGTTCTTCAAGTCCAACTGTAACATCAAGTTCTGGTAGCAGTAGTTCTTTATCACCCCTTGGACCTCTTTGTAGACAGAGATCATTAGCAAACGGCGTTTTGTGTTCTGAGTCTAGCACATCAGGTGTTTCTTCACCAACGTCTAGCTATCCAAAAGCACCAGGCTTTGAACGAGAAGATCAGGTATGTACATAATATGGGTCTAGAAGTACAAACGCAATCTTGAGTTAGATTCAGCAGAAAATGTTGTCTGCCTTGTGTATCAGCACTGTTTTTTGATAATTTAGGACACAAGAATTTGGACCCTCTTCTTTACTGAGCTAAACTGTGTCAAATTACAGTTGTCACAGGCCAAGAACACTCACGCAAACAGTCCCTGCAGCTCAGCTGACATGCAATAAATTGTAACTTTGCAGAAATGTTGTGATTGTCATTTTGAGCCCATGTTGCCAAGAACAGAGCAAGATAACAATGGAAAAAAAATCACAGCTAGACTTGGTAGGATTCAGTTTTAATTATTGTTGAAAATTGATGGTGAAAAGAGGCATTAATGTCTGACAATACTATTTATCAGTTCCAATCTTTGATTAATTTCAGACTGTTTCTTCTTCCACGTGCAGCTGCTTCTCTCCTTGGACAAGTTCATTGCTGAGACAGACATAGGTGATAAAATATAACAAGCCTCTTGAAGAAAGAGAGAGAGATCTGTAGCATTAGCAGTGAGAGGAAAGTGGTTGAAATAGAAGTTGGTGAGGAGTTAGAATCCTTTAGTCGGGTGGGGGAGAAAACAGGCAATGCTAGAGACAGTTGGGAGAAGGGAAGACTATATTTCAGAGATATGAAGCAGGTCTATTGGCCTGTGAGAAAAAAGCTGAAAGCCCAGGATTTACCTGTTAAAGCTAAATTTTTCTTGCTCTATGATAATACTGGTTACAGTTCTAAATTGTCAGAAAGGAACTGTTTAAAAAATGGAACTCCGATGGCACATTTAAATAAGCTGCAGCCAAGCTGATCAGTCTTCTTGCAAACCTGTGACTTGTCAGAATTAAGTTCTATAACCTGAGATGCACAGAGAAGTGCAGAAGTAAAATACAGAAAAATAATGAAAGGAAGGAAAGTGGTTTTTGTAAATGGTAACTTGTTATAGGTGATGGCAAGGTCATTACTCTAGAATAAAGTTCTCCATGCAGGGTTGCTTTCTTACATGTAGATGTTCAGACAGACTATAGGTTAGAGAGGTGGTCATTGTAACAGGAAAGATTTCCATCTCCCAATAGGGGGATCAAATAATCATTGATCAAATGTCATGGAAGCAAGGCAGTTACAGTATCAAATGGCTGCTCTCTGGTCATTAGGCAGCAATAACTGAGAAAGTATGTAATCGTTGGTAAAAATCTCTTTTGTTGTTTTGGTCACAATTAGTGAGTAATGTACTGCTGCAAAGAATGTGTCTCAGGAGCAAAAACGTCATGTGCTTGCCTTTTACACAATGAACCTGTCTAGAGAGAAAGCAGTGATGGATTTTGCAATTGATAAAAAAGTACCTAGAGTGGTGGGAGGCATATAAAGAGGAGGAGAGTTGTTACTGCTAGGGAGCTTTCACTACAAGACATATTGGGAATCTCCCAAAGGAAACAAAGAACAGACACAAGAAGACTGCTCTAAGGCAGCAGGAAGAACCATTTTTTCCTAAGGAGACAGAGAGCACCTTGCAGAGTTTACTGGAGCTCAGGAAGTCACTGAAAAGTACTGGCCTGAAAAGAACAGAGATACTTTGATCCTGTTCTGCAGCAACACAGGGGGCAAAGAGAAATTGCTTAGAATTACCTTTTATTTAAGTATGTCTCACTTGTTTCAAAAGCTACTTTATTATAAAATGGTGTTCAAAGAAAATCTGCCCTTATATTTGATTTTATTGTTTTGTTGTTGTTGTTATTTGTAGCATGATCAGTTTAAGGGAAAATCTGGGCAGTTCCACTCAAAACTTTTGGCTACTTCAGGCTTCTATCCCACTAGCCTCTTGAAGAAGTATTCCCCAGCTGGTGAGCATTTGGGACATGTTATTTCTGTCACAGCATAATGCTAACATGGCTACTCAATTTTTGGACCAGAAATAACTTGCATGTGCTCAATTATGCATATAAGTGGAACGATTGCAACTGCTGCTCCTTTTCCATGTAGATTTACTCTATGATCGTTGAAACGTAATTCTCCATATGGGACTGCAGTGAGGGAAATGAAGTCAGCCTGTTGAAGATATCATTACAGAGATACCACTGACCCTTCACAAACTAATCATGTATTTTACAGCAATGACTCATAAAGTTCATATATTACAGAGATTTTTCTTCTTTCAGGCAAAGCATCGAAGCTTCCCAGCTGAGAATCAGCAGAAAATAAATGAACAAGACAACAAGCAGGTATTGCCAAAAGCTAAACGCTGTAAATATTTTGCCCTTTTTGATAATTTATTTATGCAGTATCAAAGTTATGTGGTGCTTTACGACATAGTCTAAGGAAAATTTGTGCCCAGTGACAGGACAAGAGGCAATGGGCACAAACTGAAACACAGGAGGTTCCATCTAAATGTATGGAAACACTTTTTTACTGCACGTGTTAGACTTGAGCATTGAAACAGGTTGTCCAGGGAGGTTGTGGAGTCTCCCTCCTTGGAGTTATGCAAAAGCAGTCTGGACATGGTTCTGGACAGCCGGCTCTAGGTTCTGTGAATATGTGCAATAGATGTGTGCTGCAGGGAGTACCAGGGACGAGAGGAATGTGAGGCAGTTTGAGGATGCTTTTAATTATTGCAATTCCGTGGCAGAGTTTTCACAGTGAAATTTTGGATTAACTTGATTTGGGAATGGGTTGATAAAATTTAAGGATGGCCAGAAGGAAGACAACGATACAGTTGTTCAAGTGTCAGATGCTCAAAACTAGAAAAATAGTTAAAGTGACAAGGTAGAGGGCATAGCTTTGACCTGTCGTGAAGCTAAATCCATCAGGTGTTTGAGGTCATTCTATATATGCAAAGGAGCTTAAAACTCCGCCAGCTTTGCACTGCTAGAACAAGAACTCTGATGCTATCTTAATGATCAAGATAAACAAGAACAGAAGTTTTACCATTTGCCATTCATGCAGCTGCACAGGAGTGTAAAAAAACCAAAAAAGTGGAGGGTTAAAATGTATCTTATGTTTAAAAAGCAGGAGGAATGGTGCAGAATAGATAAGGAGAGAAAACACAAGACAGTTAGAGGTGGATCCTATGAGTTCTGTGTAAAAGAGTGATAGGACATGAACCAGTTTAAAAGTATACATTGGGTTTTTCCCTTACACATCTATAAATTGGTGAGAGTGGCAGCCTTGGAAACGCTTTTAATTTTTTGTGATCTGCCCTAAAAAGTAGTTTTTGCATTACTTTCTCCTGCTATTAAATGTTTGTAACAGAGTAAATAGGACATAACCAGTTTAACATCTTTATCAATGACCTAGTGGGGGAATCAAGTTTGCAGATGACATGAAATAGGCAGGACCAGTCAATAGGGCTGGGCTGCCATTCAGAGAGATGTAGACAGACTAGAGGAATAGGCCAACAAGATCTTTATGAAATTCATTAAGGACAAGTGCAAAGTCCTGCACCTGAGAAGCAAGAACCTCTTGCAACAATATGGGCTGAAAACAAGAACTAACTGGGAGGCAGCTCTGCGGAAAAGGACCTGAGATTCTTCATAGACAGCAAGCTGAAATGTGAGCCAACAGTGTGCTCTAGCAGTGAAGAAGGCCCAACATTATCCCAGGTTGTATTAACAGGAGCATGGAGTAGATCAACAGAAGGGTTACCCTTCTGCTTAACACTTGCTAAACTATGTCTAAAATACTGCATCTGGTTTTGCGCTCACAGTACTGGGATTACATCAGTAAATGAGTGCAAGCTTAGCACATGGCTGCCAAGATGTTGAGGGGACTGGAGCGCTTGCCCTGCGAGGAGAGGCTGAGGAAGCAGAGCTTGCGTGGAGAAAAGAAGGCTTCCGGAGGACCTAGTAGCAGCCTTGTAATACCTATGAGCAGGTCATCAAGAAGATGGAGCCGGCCTGTTCGCAGTGGTGCATAGTGGGTGGACAAGAGAGAACAGGCATAAATTGAAACAAGAAGCTCTGACTGGGTATGAGAAAATTTTTTTCACCATGGCAAGAGTCAAGCAGTGGTTTGCTGAGTGTGGTTGTGCAGTCTCCATCCTTGGAAGTTTTCAAGACCAGACTGGCTAAAACACTGAGTAACCTGATGTGGCTTCATAGTTGACCTAGCTCTGATCAGTAGGTTGGACTAGATGACCTCCTGAAGTTCCTTCCAAGCTGAATTTTCCTATTACCCGGTGATCCTAAGAATACTCAGCAAGTTGGTTTAATTCTCTTCTTTTTTAAAAAAGTGTTATTTAATCTCCATTTAAATAGTGCAGAATGTGTGAAATTCTGCTATGTAATTATAAAGCTGTTGACATCTTTTTTAATAGCTTTTCTATCCTGTCTCATTTCTGTTTATTTTATCTCTCTGTTCTGTTTAGATATCCCCCAGAACAGAGTTCTGAAGCCACAGATAGGGATAGTCTTGGTCTGTCAAAACAGAAGAAGGAAAGGAATCTTTGAGCTGCATGAGTGCCTCTGTCTGTAGGTGTAGGGTGGGACAAGAAGCTTGCTGTTTGTAAGTATGTTAGGCAGGAAAAAGAGACTTAGTCTAGTAGATGTAGGTGTTTATGCTGGGGAGAAAGAGAACTAACTGAAGAAATCCATCAGCTTTGTGTGGGTATGTGAAATTTCTTCACTTCCCTCTCACCAGGAGGCCTCAGCTTAAGATGGGACAGGCCAAAAGGAGATTTATTTTGAGTCTGATAATTTTTCAGTAATACGAAAAGCCTGTATTGCCTCTCCTACTTGTTTTGACTTTGACATGATGTTTCTCCAATGACAGGGATCATGATCGGGCTTATAACCTAAGAATCCTATGCCTTGTCATTTCTTCATTTTACTTCTCTAATTATACAGCTGTTCTTTATGGGTTTATATGTATAGCTAGTTCAGAGATTACTTTTTTTTTCGGCTCAAACATTTATGAAAACAGAAACCAGCAAAGAAATGTTCCATTTAACATATTGCATTGGGATATTAGAGAATGTGTTCTGAATTCAGTGTAAATTTACAATATTGGAACAAAGTTTGGAAAAGCATATCACAGAATCATAGAACAGTTGAGCTTGGAAGGGACCTCTGTTGAAGTTCAACAAGTCTGAGCACAAGGTTCTGCACCAGGATCGGGACAGTCCCCAGTATCAGTACAGACTGGGTGATGAATGGATTGAGAGCAACACTGCAGAGAAGGACTTGGGGATACTGGTGGGTGAAAAATTGGATGTGAGCCAACAACATACACTCGCAGCCCAGAAAGCCAATTATCCGGGGCTGCGTCAAAAGAAGCGTGGCCAGCAGGTTGAGGAAGTGGTTCTCCCCCTCTACTCCGCTCTCGTGAGACCCTACCTGGAGTGCTGCATCAGCTCTGGGGTTCCCAGTACAAGAAAGACATGGACCTGTTAGAGTGGGTCCAGAGGAGGGACATGAAAATGGTCTGAGGGCTAGAACACCTCTGCTATGAAGTGAGGCTGAGAGAGTTGGGGTTGTTCGGCCTGGAGGAGAGAAGGCTCCAGGAAGATGTTATTGCAGCTTTCCAATACTTAAAAGGGGCTTATAAGAAAGACTGAGAAAGACTTTTTATCAGGGCCCATAGTGACAGGACAAGGGGCAATGTTTTTAGACAGAAAGAGGGTAGATTTAGATTGTCTATAATGATGAAATTCTTTACTGTGAGAGTGGTGTGACACTGGGACAGGTTGCCCAGAGAAGTTGTGGATGCCCCGTCCGTGGAAGTGTTCAAGGTTGGGTTGGGTGGGGCTTTGAGCATCACTTCAGGCATCTCATCTAGTGAAAGATGTCCGTGCCCGTGGCAGGGGGGTTGGACTAGATGATCTTTAAAGGTCCCTTCCAACCCAAACCATTCTATGATTCTCTGGAGGTCTGTGGTCCATCTGTCCCCTTGTCAAAGTGGGGTCAGCTAGAGCAGGTTGCTCAGTGCCTTCTATTGTGGTGTTTTGAATATCTCCAAAAATGAAGACTCCACAGCCTTTTTGGGCAACATGTTCCAGTGTTTGTCCACCATCGCAGTAAAATTTTTTTTGCGTGTAAGTGAAACTTTCTGTATTTCAGTTTGTGCCCATTTTTAAAGAAAAAAATATTCATTCTCATGGTCATTATCTCCCTCAATCTTGCGCTTTATCTAGCTTTGAAATAGAAGTTTTCTGTGGTATTGGTAGAAATCAGGAGAGTAGATACTGCACAATCACTGCTTGTCACACAGAAGGCGATGAGAGGATGTGTGGATTGATTCACAGTTAAATGTTGTTTTTATTAACTAAAAGATTGGAGGGAATAAATAAACAATAAACAATAAAAAGAATTAATATACTGGAAAGTCTGCACCAAGTCCCTGTAGACTTTGTAAAGTTATTTTCCAGTTTAGAATGTTACATAGTTACATATTGTTTGCATTTCTTACATTTTATAATTTAAATGTGTGATTTGTATGAAAAAAACGTTCAGCTACAAAGAAGTAGCACAGGTACAGGTCATTATATAATGTGATACATGTGTGCAGTGCAGTCATGTTTCTCAGTTACCTAAACCGAAGATCAGTTTATGTACCAATTGCATTTAGATTAAATGAGAAAATTTGCAGGTCAGAAAAATAATATAGAATATAATTTGTGTACGAATGCATAATGAAATGGTACAGTTCCTCCATAGATACTTTCCTTTTGAAAAGGAGCATCAGACTTCAGCTAACTAATTATGTTTGTAGAGCTTATTTGCAAGTATTTAAATACCTTTTTTCTGAAAGAATTCCCTTGTATGGTAGTGATGTCCAGCCACATTGGAGAAATGCACTTGTTGGTAAATGATAAGGAAAATTATCCTAATCTATTCATTCAGAGGGTTCTTCTGGATTTCTTTCTGTTTGAGTTAAAATAACTACTTTTAAAAATACATTCTGTTTATTTTATATGTTTGTACATACATCCGTGTAAGTGTGTTTGTGTGTGTATGCATATGTGTTTGGTTTTTTTTAACAGAACCATCTCAGTGTTTTTTCAGTGGTTAACCCACTTGCTTCAAGTATAACTTCCAGTCTGGCCTCCAGTCTTGGATCAGATACTTCATCTCCTACAACTGTCTCTGCTATCAGTGCCAAAGCTCCCCCGTTCTATTCTGGCAGTAACACAGTTGAATCGGTAATAGGTAAGTCTTAACGTTTAATCTCTGATTGTACATGTTTTGTTGCATTATTCAAGTTCTGCTCGTTTCAGCATAGGTTCAAAGAGCTTATTGCTGAAGACAGTAATGTTGTACACATCTGCTTTATTATATGTAATTAAAAGCAATATCTGAAATTTAATTTAAATGTTTTCACCCCAAATCATTATTTTTAACAAGGTTTTCAATGTAAGCATAGGAATGAGTGAATGGGAAATTTAAACTGGAATTTTGGCATTGGTATTGGCCAGTGATTTAAAAAATGTGTAAAACCTGCATAATGCAACTCACTGTGTTGCTAAGAGTAGAAGTACTGTCTCCTCAACTTCTTCTGGTGGGCTGATGAGATTTGACTTTTTTTTTTTGATGTTGCCATAGCTGGTGCGATTACAGATCTTACCATCTTCACATGAAAATGGGACATTTTTCTTTGGCTGACTGCATATTCTCCAGTCTGGTTATTTGTGTGTTCAAGGACAAAATCTTGTTCACAGTCTGTGGACCAGATCTGAAAGGACACAAAGAGGAGGAGCCCTTACTTTCTGGGTACACAAGACAGATTCTGGGAAATACTTCTAAAATTTCTGTCGTTAGCCCAGAGCCTTTCCCATGCTTCCAACCAGCTAGGTTGTTTATGTGGAAAATGATAAAAGGAGTTAAATGTTTCAATAACAATTAGACACTGGGAATTTCAAAACTGGTCATTGTACTCCTGCTATGGTCTGACAGGTGCTGGATAGAGAGGAATAATCACTTCCCACAGCCTGCTGGCTGTACGTTTACTAACGCAGGTCAATATGCTGTTAGCTTTTATCGCCACAGAACATGCTGAATGTGCCATTCATCAGAATTCCTAGATCTTTTTCTGCAATGCTGCTTTGTGATCATTTGGCCCTCAGCCTGTACTGTTGCAAGGGATTATTCTGTCCCAGGTGCAGCATTATTGTATTTGCCTTTGTTGAACTTCATGCAGTTTCCATCAGCCCAGTTCTCCAGCCTTTTGAGATCCCTCTAAACGGCAGTCCTGTCATCGAGTGTATCAGCTGCTCCCCTTAATTTAGTGTTATTCACAAACTCATTGAAATTTGTGGCACTTTTACACTAAATGTGGTTTATTGAGGAGGCCGTGGCAGGGAATGTTGTGATTTGAAAGGTGCTGTATTTCACCTTCTGTGGTCTAAGTCACATGATCAGGGAGTTGCTGTGATTAGCTGGTGTACTTGAAGCTTTCTGTGTTTAAATCGATGTGTAGCAGCAACGAGGAGACTGCAGAGAGTGAGTCAGCACTTCAGCATGGTAAGTTAGGCATTCACCGTTTTAATTTTTTTAGGAAAAAAATCTATGCAGAATATTAAATGACGGATCTTTCTCTGCAGTCTCACAAGTGTATAGCTTGCTCTCCTTAAAGGTTTGTTTGATGATCTGTGTGTTAGAACAGAAAATAAATTTTAAATTATTTTTAAATTTCAGAATTAGAATGAGCAGAATTTTAGTTTTGATTCTATGCAACTAATGTAATTTCATTGGCTTACAGTTAATATTTTAAGATGCATTATGGAATGAAATCACATTTTTCTCAGGATAAACATTGCTTCTGGAATAAGTAGAGGCTAGTTGGCTGTAACAAGTTACTCATACAACAATAAAAACCACGGTCTAATTTCTGTATAGTAGATGTGGTGCTAATTCAGTATAATGTTTAAATCATGATATACTGAAGAAGTGTTGCAAAGTCGTTTAAACAGTGATACGCTATGTTTCCCATGTCCCAGTGTGATTATATTATTGAGCATAAGAGACTCTTGATTCCTCTGAGTTAGAATATGCCTCTGCTGTCTACGGATGGTTTTCTAAAACAGTTTTCAGTATGCTATGTTTGTTAACAAAATATGAATCTTAAAATACCTGTGTCATGTATGCATAAGTCAATGTACTTCATGGTAACTGTGTAGATTTGTTTTGGTTTTTTTTTTCCTTAAAAGAATTTCATCTATATATAAATTCTTTTTCCAGAGTTCTGCTTCATGGATATACAGGCTGGCATTGAAAATAAAGTGCTGCACATAATCTGAATAGAGCAGAAAATTAAGACCTTATTGTAGAACAGAAAATAAATACGTATCGTTCTTGTGGGAAGTGGTGGATTGAAGAATCATTAAAAAAAAGGGATAGAAAAAGAGCTGCAGCAAGGGAAGGGGCTAGGTGTTTATGGGAAAAGGGGATGAATGGGTTTGGATAAAGGGTTAGGGGAAATGCAGGAGAGTTATGTTAGTAAGGACTGAGGAAGCTTAGTCAGACAGTGGGGTCTGTAGTCCTTTCTGTGGCCCTTTATCTCAATCTCAAAGGGAGCTCCAAGCCCTCTGTGTCTGCTCTCTAAGTAATAGTCCCCAAGAGCTGGGGAAGAGAAGGGTGCAGGGGAGTTGGGAATAAGCATACCAATCAGTTAGAACTAGTATTTAGCATTGAGGCTTGGACAATATGTTGAAAACTGAGGAATGATGGAGTGGAAGAGGGTATATTGTTGCAGTCTACTCCTGTCGGAGTCAAGGGAGATTGATTGCATTGTCTGGTTTTGTTCTGGTAAAAAAAAGAAAGCAGCATAATCTGAGAACATAAAAAAGCTGCAGGGTGTTTGAAGTCCTCCTGAAAATTACTACCAAAAAAAGAAAAATAATTATGAGAATAGAGAAATTAGATAAGCAAAGCATCAAAGGAGACAGATTTGGAGAGGAATAAATAGCAAATGGGCAGCAGTGAAGGGAAATGACTCAAGTGGTAGTAGGGAGGAGGTGAAGCCTTAACATTAGGGGACATCTGCCAGCCTGATACTCCACCCTGTTGTCTGTGTTAGGTTGTGGGTGGACCTCCTCCTGGGAATGTTTTGATTGGTTCTGTTGCTTTCTCTTGGATACTCAAGCATGGGGATTTTGCCTGTCTGGGAGACTTGCCATGCAAGGAAAATCGGTGTCTCTCCATTTGCTTCCCATATATATTGTCATCTTAAGATGCTGTGTTCTCTCCCTGCACTCTGCTGACTTTCCACCATGTGAGGTGGAATCTGAGAGACCCAGAAAGTATCAGAAATTAAGCTTTGAAAATCTAGATAATAAACAGTAAGGAGACATGTCAGTCCTTTTTGTGGTAGGGGAGGATGAGTGTGGCAGAATGAGTTAAGGCCTCACATGAGGAGAACATAGGTTAGTGATTTAGTAAGGGTGCAGGCTTAGATTTGGTCTACTATTCAAGCAGTATGATTTATGTCAGACTCCTTGTGTTTTGTTCCTGCTTGTCCTACTTGCGTAGCAACATACTGAGCCAGACCCTGCAAATAACTTCAAATATTAATAACATCTGGGTGATGTGGGGAATTGCAAGAGCTTGAAAAAAACAGTTTGTTTCTCTGTTTAAAGATAATGATGGTGCTAATGATGGGATTTTTAAAGCCTCTTCTTTCATGATTGAGAGAATTTGGAGTTCTTTGAAAGAACGTGGAACATCTTCACTTCGTGAAAGTGAGAGGGACCTCTCCCAGAATACCCTGCAGCATAGTGATGAGAGGTTTTTGCTCTCACAGGTGTATGGCGTTTTTGCACAAAGGATGTTGAGACAGGTTCACATGTGTGAAGATTTATTAGTGGGTTGCATAGCTGATGGCACATAATGGTGAAAATTATTTCCAGATAAGTACAGAAACGTAAGAAAAGAAGATAGAATAAAGGGAAAGAGAAAACTGTCCCAGCGGCTGGGTGGGAAAAGAAGTGACAGCCAGGGCAGACAAGCATCCTCTCCAGTGCAGCAGCTGGTTCTCTCCCACATAATACTTTTCCCATATTAGCTGTATTAACTATAGTTTTTCATCCAGACCATCCCAAACTCCTTATGGGCTCCTCCTGCTTATGATGTTATTAGTGTTAACTGGAGCACACTTTGGTCAGTGGATGGTGTTGTGTGCTAATTGCTTGTTGAGCTGTGGCCAAACATATTATTGGGTTCCTCTAATGTCAGTCAAAAGCTACAATCAGGAAGGAGTAGGAGAAGAGGAGAAAGGAAGAGTGATTCTCACAGCAGTGGCAGCCACTTCCCCTGAGAACCTACCATAACAATGCTCTGAGTGTTGGCAGGTGCCTGATGGTGAGCGTAACAAGATGGTGAGCCTGAGAACAAGAAGGGAAACATACTGTCCCAGAGACTCTGGAAGGCACTACCAGAGCAGTTGGGTGAAAGAGCAAGATAGGCAGGCTACAGTGTTGCAGGTGAAAGGCCCTTACCTGTATAAAAGGCAAAGGTAGGAAAGGCACAGTGCAGCAATGGGGATCCAAAACCCAATATGGAAGAGGGACTTTTAATCTGGGTTTCACACAGCACTTGTGACCACTCTAAGCCTTGAGTCATCAAATAAAAGGAGGCCATGTCTCCCCTCCTTACTGTATTGTATAGAAGTACTGGCTTAGGCACCAGTCTCCAAGAGAAGGTTATTGCTGCAAAACTTTGAAAAGCTGGGGCATATCCCTTCAGGCCAAAATGACAATGCAGAGAGCTTCCTCCCTCTGAGTGTTGGACACCAAGCTGCTTTGTCAGTATTGCTGAAAGATAAGGATTATTGTTTGGGCACAACTCCATACTAGTAAGTTGTGTTGCTTTTGAGACCCAGACTAGTAACTTCACAAAGAGCTATGTTAACTCTCAGGTATCTTTGTCATGAGTGTCACTGTGTAGTATGTGAACTCTATCTCTCGGCTGGTGTTTTGACCTGGACAGCTTAGGCAGCTTCCTGCTGAGCACAGTTCTGCAGGTCCTGCTTCTAGGTCAGTAACTCCCTTTATGTATTATCTGGAGCTCCAAGACTGTGGAGTCTGTTAGATAGCCTAGTCAACATTAGGAAATGCCTATACATAATAACTTTGCACTGATCTTGTATTAATGATCCAAATTGTCCTTTCGATTTCTGACTTTTAGCACTTTTACAGCTGTCTAGTACTTCTGCCAAAGATCTTCTGCAGTTTATAGTGCCTAATGTTTAGGACTAGGCTATGAGAGAGGAATCAGTCTAATTCCAAAGGGATCAAGAGATCCCTTTTGGATCTTCTGGAAACTTTTACACAACCCCGTGTGTCTTTTATTTCTGTTTGTTCCTTTTCAATTCATTTAGGCTTTATGCCAGGTTTTAATAATGATTTTCAACATAAAATCTAAAAATTCTTTACAAAGGTGATCACTATCACTGAACACAGTGACTGGGATAGTCACTTTCCTACCTGTAAAATCAGTATTTATGCACACTTCACCCCTGTCTTTCTGACTCTGCAGTTGTCAACATTAGTTAAAGTATAGGTACAGAGGGATAAATTCCTTAATTACACACCTTTCTGCACGGAAAAGAAGTTCAGAGGAAGAAGGGAAAAAATACCCATCTTCTAACACTTTATAAACAGTGGACCTAATAAGGATTATACTGTTAAGAACTTTTTCATGACACTGCCCAGAGAAATTTTAGACAGACATAAGCCTTAAACTGAAAGGCAGTCTAACTGTTGAGTCTAAATGAAACATTGATTTTTGACTTTTTAATTTTTTTTAAATATTGCACATTTTCATTAGAATATTCTGACATTCCTTACATCTGTATGCCCTGATATGTAACTCAGTTACCCCAAGGGCTAACTGTTATAAAGGGCATTTACAGTGCCTTTCCCCAGATATAATACCTGTTTTTATTCAATAATAATAAAAATTATCTTTACGTAGGTATCCAAATTTTATTTTTCCTTTTTCTGTTGACGTACATCTAAGCACAAGAGGTGACGCAGATTTATTGAAAATCCAGATAGATAGCCACCTCTCCATTATCCTCTGTTCATCTCACCAGCTTTAAGAGCTGTAATGGCATATATATGAAAGTTTTCCCTTTTACAAAATACAGAGGATATCCTTCACTGTGTGTCTGTAGTATGCTTAAGATTATGACCTAGATGCAAAAGAGTTATATGATGGAAGCACTAACAAAAATAGTCAAATAAAGTTTCCTCATTTCAGCCATCATGATAGTTTTATGGATAATTCAAGGATAATTCATTGATACAATATTTTGTTTAACAGGTTCTGCTCTAGATTTGCATTTTAATGATGTGAACGTCGCGTCCATAGAGAGAGAATTAGAAGATCAAGAAGGCAGCGACCTTGGATTAGCAAGTAAGAGGTCCAATTCGTAAAATTATACTAATTTAAAATATCTTTCTTTCTTACCTTTCTAAACTTTTACTCACCAGAATAGTTACAGACAGCAAAGACTTTGAAGAAAAGTCCTCAGTTTTGTTCCAGCTGTTTAACTTTGTGGCATAAAGGGATTGCACCTCTATCAAACTGTATTTTGCAAGGGATCAGTCTGTTAAACATTTTGTTTTGGTTTTTTTTTAACATGCTTAATGACTTGGGCCCATGGGCATAATAGTTGATGGAGGGACTTACATGCATTTACAGGAAGGCATTACACTTGAGCTTGACTGCCTGCACGTTGACTGCTGCAGATGTCTGACAGCAGGCAGTATGTGCTGTGGGGATGGACAAGTACTTCCATGGTTAGGTGGTTGCTGAGAGGGGGAGCGGGGACAATTCTTGAGGATAAGGAGCTAGCAAACTTTAGGACTTTAATACTTGCAAGTTAGGGACTTAGTCTTTCTATAAATCTAACCTGGAAGGAGAAATTTAGTTGAAGGTCTGTTGGAAAGTATTCAGCTATTTGGCCTCTTCTGGGAAAGGACAGGAGAGGAAGACATAGCGAAGGAGAGCAGTGCAGGGAAGAGACAGCAGAGAGGAAGTATGGGAGGGGGGACAGCAAGAAATTGAAATACTACCTTTTCTTTGTGAAAGTAGAAAAGGGAAAATAATCGAGAGAAAAAAACACAGAAAAATAGGAAGTGAAAACTGAGGAACTATAATTTTGTTATCATATTCCTTTGAGAGTGACAGAGCAAGAGAACAGACAGGTTTTTACAGTACTTTCATTTACTTTCTGAGACCTGTTTTGCTAACATTTCTTTGAAGGAGGTCTACAGTGATTATTAAGTTGGTTGTGCATATGTGTTAAGCTTCCACTTGCGCAAACAAAACTGTATTCTTGGATGGCAAACGTGTTCCTCCTATGTCCTTCTTGCCCTGCGGCTCTAGATGCAAAGGGTAAAACAACTATAGCTATGCCCTAGTTTATTATTGCTGACTTGCTCCAAGAAGAAAAGCTTGCACTTGGTGTCTATACATTATGCAATTTATCTTCCTTTAAGATAATTATTACATCCTTAGCCCACAGGCTCTAGCAAATATATAGATATATTTGATGTTGTTGGAATATGTAAGCTGTCACTGGGATCGCAGTGGATAGGTGTCGTGGTTTCAGCCCAGCCGGTAACAAAGGACCACGCAGCCGCTCGCTCACTCTTCCCCGCCCCCCTCCGGTGGGATGGGGAGGAGAATTAGAAAGGAGAATAGAAAAAAAAAACAAACGGAACCTCGAGGGTTGCCATAAGGACAATTTACTGGGACAACACAAAAAGAGAAGTTACAACAACAACAACAACGGTACTCATAAAAGAAATATACAAAACGAGTGATGCACAGTGCAACTGCTCACCACCCGGAACCCAACGCTCTGCCGCTTCCCCCACTGAAAGCCGAGAGCCCACCCCCTAGCCCGCTCCCTATTTATATACTGAGCATGATGTCACATGGTATGGAATAGCTCCTTGGCTAGTTCAGGTCAGCTGTCCCGGCTGTGCCCCTTCCCAGGTTCCTGTGAAAATTAACTCTATGCCAGCTGAACCCAGGATAATAGGACAGTACCCGAGTATTACAGATTCAAGACTTTGTCATAAGGCATGGAAATCGTTTTGACCCAAGTGAACATCAAGTGCCCTCACTCCCTTGGGGAAGCATGTATTACAAGCAACTGTGAGTTGCTTCTTTTCAGAAATAACACAGATGTCCAGAGAGATTCTGCTTGAAACTTTTCCTCCTCTGGGTGCTTCCTTTGCAGTGAAAGCGGACAGTGCTAGGCAAGATCACTCATTTTATCACCCCAGTAGTGTGCGGATACATGAAGCTTCAGAGCAAACAGAGAATTCAGGAAAGTCACTTGGTTTGAAGTGGACTTTTTCACTTCATCAGCTCACTTGTTTGAAGGTGGGCAGAAGATGCCTCACATAAAGTGACTGGTGTCATGCTTCTGTCTTCAGATCTGCTTGTACCATAGTCTCTTCCACGGGGTGCATGGAAATACCTGCTCCACCGTGGTCTCTTCCAAACCTTCCATGGGCTGCAGGGGAATCTCTGCCTCAGGGGAATCTCTGCTTCAGGGAAATCTCTGCACTGGTGACTGAAGCACCTCTTTCCCTTCCTTCTTTCCTGACCTTGGTGTTCACAGGGCTGTTTCTCACACCTTTTGTTCCCTCCTCCTCTGCCTGTGTGGCATTTTTTTGCCCTTTTTAAAATATGTTCTCCCAGAGGCACCACCTGTGTGGCTGAAGGGCACAGCTGTGTCTCACAGGGGGTCTGCTGGAACCGGCTGTGTCCGGCACGGGGCAGCCCCTGGCCTCTCCTGGCCACCCCTGCAGCCCTGCCCTTCCGCTACCGAAACCTTGCCCCGTAAACTCAAGACATGCAGGCAGATTGTATTTGCCAAAACTCAACTGGATTTGAAGACTGCATTAAGAACCAGAAAAGAGATGGTTCTTCTGCTACCATTTCATACAATGTTTGTTTGGGGGCTTTACTTTGGCTCTCAATTTTTAAGAGAATTCTTACTTGGCCCGATTTTTTAACTAAACTCCCTTTACTTTGTTGCTTCCTTGCTTCTCTTGCAAAGAGCAGTGTACATTTATTGTCTGGTATATTATGTATGTCTGTGGTTATATGTCTGTCCTGTATCTTCCTTATACAGTTGGGTCTTGAGGCTGACTGTGATAATGTTTGCTGAGTATTTCAAGATATAATTTTTGATGACATTGTGGCAATGCAGCTTATAATGAGCATCCCTGTCCTTTTGTTTTTAAATACTTCCAAAAGGAATGATGTTTTCTCTGATGACATGAATTCACCTGTTTTAAGCAAAACAAGAAAACTAGAATCATGACCCTTGCTTTAAGTATCATCTTTTGAATGCTGTATTTCTTTTAAAGAAAAAGTGATGTCAATTTTAGTTGCTATTCAAACATATTGATGACTAAAATCCTCACAGTAAATATTGAACTGTTTCCTGACCAGGAAAATGCACTGCATCTGTGCATGTTTATTTAAGTAATTGCATGATTGAACATCCTTTTTTTAATACCTTTTTTTTTATTATTATCATTATTTTGGGAAATTATGAACAATGCATTTGTTTGACTAAATGATTATTAATTTTTAATTTGTTTCACACTCAGTTTTCATAGAGAGTTAAGTACAGTTGACATTTAAAATCTACTGAACAGAAGCAAAAGTATGTAGAGGAAAGACATTGAGCTATGTCTGATTATTATGCTGTGTATGATTTTCAAGGTATGTAGTCTCACTTGCTTAACTCTATATATTAAAATAAAACCCAAATTTTTCTTAATCCTTTAAGTTTCAGTCAGTTTCTCCACTTGCAGTAGTTGTTGGCTATAAAAATGAGTAAGTTGAATAACTTGATCTGAAAAGTGTTTTCTCTTTCTTTGTAGCTGCAGATGAGGCCACTGCTGTATAAAGCTACAAATTCTCTTTTCAGGCACTTGGAAAACTACTTTCAAGTGTTCACTTTAAAAAAAAATATTTTTGCAATAGGAGATAAATAAAGTTTTCTTTTTTAATGGAAGGTATTTGTATATATAATTTAATTTACATTTGATACATTTTTCAGAAAAATACTTACAGAGAGCTGTGTACTGCTTTGGAATGATTTTTTTCCCCCCCCTAATGTATACATAGGTCAAAGATTACTGGGAAGTTCAGCACCTGTCAATATTCCAGGTTCTCTTGTTCGTTCCTCATCTTTACATTCATCATCATCCCTTTCGACCTCTCCACTCAGTTCTCTTTCACAATCGCTGTCTCAGTCTTTTGTTTCATCCACTACGGCTCCTCACCACCAGCAGCCTCAGCCTTTGAAGACAGAACATAGTATGTTAGGCACCTCAGCCTCTTCTCACAACTCTTTAGGTAAGTAAGTTGAAGGCTGCACTTTGTGTATGGTAAGAGGGAACTCAATGGCAGGTAAGAAATGTTCAGTTCAAGGCTTTGCATGTTTCTTATGACTTAATCTGGACAACAAAGCCTAGCTATTGTAATTAATAACACTACTGATAATGGAGTTATATGTGTGGTATGTGGGAGGAAGTTCAAGGAGTGAACTTCTGTTCCTAGTGAAGGGAAAAAAAGAATTTTTGGAAGAGGACATATTTACAGAGGCGTTTAAAAGGCATGAAATAGAGCAGTTGGCATACAGTCAGCAGGAATGCATTTTAGCTGCAGGATTTTGCTAAAGGAAAATACAAAACAGAGAAAGAGGAAGAATTAAAATTACGTATGAGCTGCTAGGAACAAAGCTTTTTGTATATGTGAATTCCCACTCTTCCTTCTCCTTTTTTGGACTGTACTGTCTTTTATTAAAAGCAGCAAGAAAAAAACACATGTGTTAAGTCTCCTGAATTGCTTTAAATACTGTAAACATTTTCCAGACTGTCACATTTATGAAGGTAGTGAAATAATGAGTCTTGCAGATAAAAGCGTAAGTTTTACAATGTGGCACATGTGTTTTGTTCTGCATGTGAAACATTTTGCAGCAGTGTATGCAGAATTTTTTTTTTTTTCTGCTTTTGTATTACAGGTTTAAATGGTGTTACAGGGAGTATTTGGGACTTTGTAACTGGGAGTTTCTCTCCTAGTCCATCCCCAGTACTAAGCAGTGGCACTACCCCCTCAATAAGCTCAAATACCAGTGGGAATGAACTAACTCGAGTTAGACAAGAACTTGATGATGCCAAGAAAAAACTAAAGCAATGGGAAGAATCTTGGCAACAAGTAAAACAGGTATGCTAATTTATGGTAATATTAAATTATATATATATTTTTTAACAAACAAGCAGCTCTTACTGCTTTTCCTTTTTACATATCTTCTTATCCTTGGACCCAGAGTTTTATTACAGTCTGTCAAACAAATATTTTTTCCATCCTCAAAATGAGCTAGCAGCATAAAGGAAACTGAGCTTTTTAAAGAGCAATTAATTTTCTGAAAGTTAATTTGCCTCTCTAGACAGGGAGACTTACACATGTTCAGGATAGGGCTGAACAGCAACATATCTTGATGTTTAAGTACCTGAAGATGTACATTTCCTCCTGTACCACTTTCAGATAATAAACACACAAAAAAGGTAGAGGCTTGCCAGCAGCTGTGGTTGTCTAGTGTACCTGGACAGTATCTAGCCATCTCAGCAGTCAAACCGAGGTTGTTGATAACTGCCAGTCTAGTGCATTTTCTGTGGTCCTTTCGTTCCCCTCATGTTGCTCTCTCTGTGATGAGGAGTAGTTAAGTAGCTGTACTAAATTTGATTGGTTTTGATGTCTCTTTACATTGAATTATGAATTTAACATTTGAAATGTGTTCCATTTATAGAGCTCCAAAAAGGCTTCTTGCAGTTTACAGACCAGTAACAGTGACATACCTAAAAATTACATTAAGACAAAACAAGAAGAGTTGTTAATTAGAAGGTAGGATAAGTAGGGAGAAGTGTTAAATTGACAGTGAATGCATTGTTATGTCTAAAATTAGAGATTGCCTGCATCTTTGAAGGCTTTTGAATTTGCTCTTCTGTTGTTAATTTAAAAAAACTATTTTTTATATTCTGGAAATCTCTTTCTCCCAGGCGTGTGATGCATGGCAGAAAGAGGCTCAAGAAGCAAAAGAACGTGCTAACATCGCAGATGCAGACAAACAACTGGCTCTTCAGAAGAAGGAGGAAGTGGAAAATAAATTAAAAAAGCTGAAGGCGCAGTTAGCTGCTTGTTTGTCTACTACATTACCTTACACGAAAAACTATGGAGATATAGAAAAGATATCTTTGCCAAAGCTTCGTTCCTTACAAAATAGGCTGCACTTAGACTTAGAAACAATAGATGAGGTGAGTTTCTTCATCTGCATAACTATTTTTGATTAACTGAAACTGACAGCTCAATAACTTTCAATGACACATTTATGCCAGGTTTTACTTCAAAGAACAACACTGCTCTCAGTGTTAACGCTTTCTTTTCTGGAATAGAGGATGGTTCAGATTTCTCAACCTAATGGATTCTTCTAAGTTTTTGATCAGCTATCAGAACAAATCACAAGTGATTCACAAGAATTCTTGGGGTGATTATAAAAAAGATTTAAAGCCAGCTTTTACTCCCAACGTTTTGGGCACTACCTAAATAAATAAAAATAGTTGCCCTCAGTAAATGAAAATAGTTACATGCTTTTCACTTGTTTAGAAGGTAGGTGGTGAGGTTGCCTGCTAGGAGTTTGTTTTGTCAGAGAGGCAAGTACAGACTGAGAGCATAGAATCATTGATGTGAGAAGGGACCTCTGAAGATCATCCAGTCCAACCCACTGCTCAAAGCAGGGTCAACTCAAGCAGGTTGGTCAGGGCCTTGCCCAATAGTGTTTTGAGTATCTCCAAGGATGGAGAGTCTACCTCCTCTGAGGGCAACCTTTTCCAGTGTTTTGACTATCCTCACAGTAAGAAAAGTTTTTTCTTATGTCTTTGTGGAATTTTCTGTATTTTAGTTTGTGCCCTTTGCCTCTTCTTTCACTGGATACCACCAAGAAGAGGCTGTCCCTATCTGTTTTACACCCTCCCATCAGGTATTAATAAACACCAGTAAGATGCCATCTCTTGTCAAGGCTAAACAATCCCAGCTCTTTCAGCCTCCCCTCATATGTTAGATGCTTCAGTCCCTTAATCACCTTAGTGGTGTATTTCTGTATTTCACCTTCTCTCAAATCCAGACTCAGTTTCTGCCAAAATTTAGGATGCTCTTTCACTGCCAGATTGAGGGCATTTCTCAGGGCTTTCAAAGCTGGGAATAGCAGGTGCCACTCCTCTGAGCACATCAAGGAAGATAATAGTGACCATGCACTGCTCCAGGCACCATACTTCAAACCTTGCCGGACACAACTTTGTTTCACATTGCTTTCTCCCCTGAAATGTCAAAGGGCAATGACACCACATATGAGACCAATTCTTGCTGGTTTGTTTTGGCTGTGACAGGACTGTCCAGACAAAAAAAAGATTTCCTTTCGCTACCAGGACAGTCTGCCATATTCTAGTACCTGTTTGAGTTCCACGGTGTCTTCTCTGTCTCAGTTCACCTCCTGTCCAGTGTTGTCTGTATCAGTATGAACTACAGTCTTGGAAAAAAAAGCCAGGCTCTTTTTAGAAGAGTTTAAAACATAATTTAAGTCTTTGTCAATAAAGTAGGTGGATGAGGACGAGACTTGCTAGTTGCCAGGCTCCTGTTATCAAGTACATTTACAGGATTCTTGATTGGATTAGGGACCACTGTTGTTTTTCTCCTAAGGGATTTTAAAGAGGAGCAAAAGAGTCTTGGGTTCTTCTACCAAAAAAGTCATTACATCCTGGAATGGAAGTCATCTTGGCCAGGCTTGAGTGATCAGAACCATTACCACCTTTTCCAGCTCCTCAGTTTCTCATTTTTCCTTTACCACTGTGGCTTCTTCTCACCTAGCTCTTCCTTCCAAGAGAAAGTTGCGATCTTAGGCAGTGCCACACATAGCATTCTTGGTTCTTCTCTTAGTCCGAACCATGTCTTGCTCTTCAAAAATTAACACGCATCAAAAAGCATCCAATTCTTCCTGTTCCTTAATAGGGTTGATATGCCTTATTACATGGAGACATTTATTTGCAGTTGTAACTGTCGTGGTTTAACCCCAGCCAGCAACTAAGCACCACGCAGCCGCTCACTCACTCCCCCCCATCCAGTGGGATGGGGGAGAAAATCGGGAAAAGAAGTAAAACTCCTGGGTTGAGATAAGAACGGTTTAATAGAACAGAAAAGAAGAAACTAATAATGATAACACTAATAAAATGACAATAGTAGTAATAAAAGGATTGGAATGTACAAATGATGCGCAGGGCAATTGCTCACCACCCGCTGACCGACACCCCGCCAGTCCCCGAGCAGCGATTCCCCGCCCCCACTCCCCAGTTCCTAAACTAGATGGGACGTCACATGGTATGGAATACACCGTGGGCCAGTTTGGGTCAGGTGCCCTGGCTGGGCATGAGAAGCTGAAAAATCCTTGACTATAGTCTAAACACTACTGAGCAACAACTGAAAACATCAGTGTTATCAACATTCTTCACATACTGAACTCGAAACATAGCACTGTACCAGCTACTAGGAAGACAGTTAACTACATCCCAGCTGAAGCCAGGACAGTAACATACTCCCCAAAGTCTGTATCAGTAGCTTTATGCAAAGTATTGCACATTTGGGGTGCTTCCATTTTGTTTTAATGCGAACATCTCCCATGGCATGAGAAAATGTAATGGTGGTTTGAGGTGGCAAAATGAGTGAGTATATGACAATGAAAAAGGGTCATTTCCTGGGGTTTTTTTGGTTTTGCTTGTTTGCATCTCTCATCCCAATGATGCAGGAAAATTTGAGTCCAGAGGTTCAGTCCTAGATACTTTCCTTTCCAAAAGCACCTATACTCCTCCAGCTGCTACTTTGAAGGTTGCGCATGCTCTGATCTTATGACCCTCAGTTCAGCTATCTGTCATACAAAAATATTGTACTTTGTGTTGTTAAATTAGAAGTTTATTCAGGACAGCTAAGTGTAAAGCTGCTAGAATGCAACTGTATACTTTGGAATCATTTTTACTGAGTGCAATAATCTTTTTACAGGTGATTTTTCAGCTTCAGTCAAAGAAGTGTATCGTGTGTCAGGAAGGTGATCGTAGCATTATCCTGAATCCATGTCAACATTATGTACTTTGTGATCACTGTGCAGCTGCACAAGAAGAATGTCCCTGCTGCAAGAAAAAAAAAAATCTGTGGTAGCATACAGGCATAGTACTCGTATCATGTTCATGAATTAAATAATTTTATGGGTTTGTATTTTGTATAAGAATTATATCACTCATAATTAATCCATTTAATAGTGCTAGACTGATTTCCATTTTGATGTGAGAAACGTAGTTGCTTTAAGATAGAGAATAAGGCTTGCTCACCTTTACATATCAGCTTCAGTCATTTGATAAGGTTCTGTAGTCTTGAGGTTCATTCATTCCCTCCGCAATCCCACTGCAGCCTTTTCTGACTTCGGCTTACATTCCCAGTGCACAAGCTACTTAGGTTCATTTGCACTGTAATCACTTTGTATAAATCTTACCATAATGCCTGAATGAAGTGTTTATACCTGTTATTTTCATTAACAGAAGATGGATACGTAGATACAGTAACTACACACTCCACAGTACAAATGGTCCCTTTGCCATGTCTGTTGTGTGTAGAACACCAGAGCCAGTATTTTGGAATCAGTCTAACACTATGTTTACTTGGATGTTTGAAAAACTCTGATTAATATAAAAGCACTTTTTAATTATTGTGTTTTGTTAGAAGATATGTTGTAAATTGCTTCAAGCTGCTTTCTAGGTCTTATGTTTATTTTTTAATATGCAATAATATGATGTGTTATATGTGTACTGTGAATTTAAAAGATTTCACATGGTTTTACTGTTAAATCACAATATGATTAAATAGAAATGACAACTTAGCTAGTTTTTTTACAATTTATAAGTTAACTGCATACTGTAGTATTTATAAATGTACCGGCGGAGACAAAACAAGTGAGGCACATACGCTTTCATATTCAAAGACATGTTTTCAATTTGAGAAACAGATCACTTTTAGTAAACAACTGTGCATTTGCATATTTCCCTCACTTTGGGTGTTTGTAGTCTTTAAGTTTTTGTACATCTAACCTGTGTGGTACTCATCGGGAACAGATATGATATATATAATATTACCAAGTGCCTATGCCCAATATCCTATAAAATGGCAGAAGACATAAAAAAAAAATTTGCAAATAATTTCTATTGCTTAATTTTGTATTGAACAATTTGACAATAACTAGAATATGTCTCTTGCTTTTATAAATATTTAAAACCACACTTTTTTCAGTAATGAAGTAATGCACGTTTGAAAGAAACTACAAAATTATTTAAGTATGTAATCAGGCAGTGACACTTTGACACAGTGATTCTTTCAAAAGGTGGTAATATCCTTACTTCATCCTGGTAGTTGGGAACATGCAGTTCAGGAGGAGAAGTTAGTTAATTACTGCATGTTAACACTGTATATTTTTACTTTTCTTACATGGAATAATTGCCTGCATTACTCCTTTTACTGTTAAATTCAGGTGTGACACTAGTACAACTTAGATTGAAATGACCTACTACTGTGTTACATGATTTCTATCTCAGTATTACTGTATTTAGTACAAAAAGTGAGTTCACATAGGCAGCAAAGAGCTAATCTATTTAAAGTTCAGTCATGCTAAAACAAAAACCAAGATGTATACTAAAATTATTATTGTCAAGATGGAGCTTTTATAACTGTGTCAGCATTCAATAAAGGGCCCAAGCCAATAGTACTGAAATCACTATCTCCTTTGGGTTTTAGCGTTCTTTGTACAAAGGCTTGAGTTGGCAAAAAATCATTACACGTTTTCCGTGAGAACTAAATGTACAGGCTTGTCACTGCTTTCCTAAGACATGTTGATCTGCAGGAACATTGGAGACCTTTTGGGAAGGGAGAAGTAGGATAAAATATTAAATACATTTCTACTTGATTCTGTTTCAAAATTTTGTCTGAAGATTAAAGACCAAAGTTGGGTTTAATAATGTGATTTTGTTGACTTTAACACAGTTTCTCTAAAATGTTTGTGCTGAGAAAAGTATAAAATTGGACTGTATTTGCATTTTCCAACACACTTTTCTGTCCTAAAATAAGATATTGCTATTTTAAAGGTGTAGCCAGCTTTGGACTTTTAAAAAAAGGAACTTGGATCACCAACTTTGGCTGTAGGTATTAATGTATTTTTTGCATCTGTGCAGTCTATGACAAAGACTGATTTTTGAACCTTAGCAGCATTTTGGACTAAAGCAAACTTAGTTATGTAAGGGTTTTGATTTTTCAAACAGTGAGCAAATCAAAGAATAAGATGTAATTATAGTTTGAAATTATGTTACATATTTTTCAAACAAGCATTTGTTTTGGACTCCAGTCTACTATATTTATCTAGTGTGGAACAGCATTCTGCAACCATTGTGCTCACAAAAACATTCAGAAATATCTTAGTGAAAATTTTTGCTTTGGTATTTTAGAAGAAACCAGCTTCGGGCCACGTTGTGCTGCCCATATGCAGCTATGTGACATTTGTTACCCCTGAGATACTATGGAAGCGTGGTTTTGTGCTGTCTTGTCAAAGTTTATAGTTCTTTATGTGTATTTCAGTGCATTTGCCTATGTCCTAGGGCTATTTTGTGGTCCCTTTTTTTGGTACTAACAGGCGATTTTCCTAATGTCATGACACCAACAAAAAAGGAATGTAAACAGCACTTGCAGTGTGAATCATCACATTGACATTCATAGTTTATGTGTGCTGCATTTTTAGAGGAAATTAACTAATATATTTAGTCTGTTGCTTTTTAAAGTTGTATGTTTTGTGTTTTACAACGATGAATCTTGAAAATAATTATGTGTGTCCTGTAGTAATATCAGTACTGAAAATTTTGCAGGTGTTCCCTGTAAGTTTCTTTGGTGCTGAAATACAGACACATTTAAAAACTGTCAACAAACCATTTTGTGGAGAAGGAAAAAACACATACCAAAGAAACATACCTATATGTGAAATTCTCAGACTGGACGGCTTGCTATATTTATAGACGAAGCCTTAGGTAATCACTTGAACCATGCATCATCATAACATAGCAGTCATATGAAAATAATACAGTTGTTCTTCAAAAAATTCTTTTTGTGAGGAATTACTAGCAAAGTTTTCTGTATCTTTATTAAGCAAGTCAACTGCAAAAACAAATAAGTATGCACTTTTACACCACTACTTTAAAATGAAGGATAATAAAATAAATGCAGTTGATGAGAGACGACTATTTGGAAGAAGTCAGAAGTGAAATCTGACCTTTGTAAGTATTCATCCTTGTACTATATACATTATCTAGAAACTGGATACATTAAAATTATATTTTAGCGAGACTACAATATGGTAATTTGCTGAATTCACAAAATACATAAAAGCAAACTAAATATATTTTCAAGATTCATTTTGGTATTTGACAAAGTTCTGTGTTAATTTATGTAAGAATATAATTTTAAATGTGAATGCCATTATGTTGTCACAATTATTTTAGCCTGGGGAATAATAGATTAAAAATGTGATTTCTCAGGGTCTTTACAGTTAGGAGCTGTAATTTAACCAGAAGTATGCTAATTACAGATAGATCCCAAGCTGCATGTTACAGGCTTATTATTAGTCTTCTCTGAATAGCAGATTATTAAAAACATACTTGTTTTGTTCTACATTGCCATTCAGAGTATCCTAGTATTAAATATAGGTAGTAATATTATTACTGTCACACTATGCTTGTGTAACTGTGGTCATCATCAGACCCTAAATAAATACAGAATTTTTAGTCATATTAATTTATGGAAGCCGTTAATGTTTTGAGTGTACAGACAGAAATGATTTTGTGAATGAAATTGTTCTTAATACAAAACATATTATTTATAATGCATACTCATTTACTTGTAGTGAACTGTTTAAAATTGTTAACACTTCTTAAAACTTTTCTACACTATAGCGTTTATGCAATGGTTTACAGAAGTCATGGAATTATTTTTATTACCAACATGGAAATAAAATTTTGATCTTTATTTCTGAGCTATACTGTGTTTAGAGACTCAAAAATTTACAGATATGTTTTCCTCTGCAAGTCAATTATGGCATTCCTAATAATTTCAGGGTTTCAACCACTGGGATTGACATTTACTCTTTCAGTGGAGAAAGAGGTCTAACTGATACAAAGAAACTGATTCAGCACAGTGGTCTACTAATCACTTTTCCATTCCATTCTTCTCTGTACCACATGTCCTAAGAACATACAAAATGTCCTACTGGGCTGGAGCTATCGCTGTAAGTCTGTACTGGTATTCTGTCCCTAACAGGGGCAACAGGAGATGCAGTTTAGGAGGAGCACGTAAGTCTCACCTCTTTCCGCAGTCCCTGCCTCTCATACCCCCACCAGTGTTAGCGGATGTTAGAAACTGCAGCCTATTCAGGCTCGCCTTATACGAGATGGTAGCTTTGTTCCTTTCCAACTCAAAACTTTGTCCTTCATAAGATGCAGAGAATGTGACAGCATACAGTACTGAGGCTGTGGATTCACCAAGGTTTTCTGGAGCTTTTTGTCTTGTCATCTGTATCCCTCCTGGTAATGCCCAGGACTTTTTCAGACCTTCCCCCACCCCCGCAGCCACTGCACATCTGGCAAGGCAAGTAAATTACAAGTCGGTTACTAAAAAGTCTCAGCTTACATGCTGTCCTTGCATGAGAAATTCAATAATGAAGGTGAGGATAGAGTGGTGGGAGCAATCCGAACAAGGTGGAAGGGAAAGACAGACACACACACAGTCTTACATGGTGACTTATTCCCAAGTAGACGAGGTAATAAAGCTGTAAAGACACATGCCTTACGGTCTTCCACTTGGCTTCCCGTACACCCCAAGGCCTTGCACTTGCCCCGCAGAAACAACCTTTTTCACCTAGGTACACCATCGTGTCCCCAGTTTGCTTTCTGATGTCCTCAGATTTTGAGGCACCTTGCAGCCTCTGTTTGCATTTTGGTGTGCCCCAGAACCCTCAGTTCACATTCTGGGTTGCCCCCGAGCCCTCCATATGCCTTCTGGTGAGCCTCAGGGTCCTGTTTGTCCTGCAGTGGGCAACAAAATTCTCCATTCAGCTTTCTCCCCTCTCCCACAGTTTTCTGGGTGCTTTTTGGTGTTCTCCACTGCGAGAGAATGAAAGATTAACGTCTCAAGCATTGCGGTGGGGCAAGTTCTGCTTAACGACGAACCCTGCATAACAATGAACCCGGCATAACAACGAACCGCAGGTGAGAAGCCGATCAGCACAGACCAGCACAGGACGTCTGCGGCAGGACGCGGAGGGCGTCCGTGTCCCGATACGCTGAGCGGGGCAGCTCACCCTGTGCGGCCAAGGACCAAACAACGGTCACACCTGCAGGGAGGGAGAAGTTACTCCTCAAACGACCCCCCAAGCCCACCGACCCATTTCCTGAAGGTTCTGAAAGCACAAACCACGCGTGACAGCTAATTAGCCTAATGAGTCCGAGTGCCCGCCCAACGGAGGGGCAAGGAGATGATGAAAGGACACAAACGGAACCACCGCGCGCACCTTCTGGAACTGGACCTTTAGCCTGGAGCAACGCTGGGCCCAGGGGCAGTGAGATCTTTCTCTTTTAATTTCCTCTTCCTCTCTCCTTTTTCATAATCCCTGCACCTCATCCGTTTAGACATAAACCGCTGACCAAGTCTGGGACTAGGAGCGGATCCAGCCGCCCCACGGCACTTCTCGGAGAAGGAGTCTAGAAAGCAGAGGGGGTCCACTCTGAACCTCGTGACTCAACGGGAGGGCTGTCCTTATTCCCTGAATTGAGGTATATGGTTACCATGGTTACACGGGTCGCTGAGATAGTTTCATGGCAGTTCCTGTAGTGAGAAACCCCGCCTTCGGGGGTTCAGTTTGCTTCTGCCATGAATAAAGTGTTTAACTGATCGTCTGGTGTTGTTTCACCTTAATTTAGCCCGAGGGAATTCCGAACGCAACACGACTCCCTGGTCTGTCCAGCCCGGGTCGTGACATCCACCATCAGCTCTTTTCCTTTTGGTTTGCCCCAGGGCCCTCCTTTGCCTTTCTGTGCCCCAGAAAGGGGGCCTGCAGACCATCGCCCTAGGAGCCGACCGACCAACTATTCCCCGGCGGACCGACGAACGCGGCGCCAGGACAGACTGTCGAGGTGTCCCAGGGGCATCGGGGCCCCGAGCGCGCAGCCGCGCTGGGGGCTCGGCGGAGATTCCGGGTGCGTCGGCGGGAGGAGGCAGGGGGGAGGGAAACGGTGTCCCAGCGGGGTCAGGAAGGAGGGCAGGCTGCCTCCCGCGGCATGCCGGGAGCTGTAGTCCTGGGGCACGGAGCTTCCGGTCGGACATGGTGCCTCCCGGGGCATGCCGGGAGACGTAGTCTTCTGGCGCCGGGCGGCCAGGCTATGTTTGCCAGTGCATGCCGGGAGCTGTAGTTTTCGCGGACTCGGCTGCCGGGCAGCAGCGTTGCTCTCGGGCGCGTACGGCGCGGCGCGAGGTGTAGTTTTGTTGCCGGTTTCGTGTGCTTTTTTGCGGGCTTCTTGCTGCGCCCGCTGCCCGACTAGAGTCCAAAGCGCGGTCCTGCGCGTGGGGCGCCGCGCATGCGCGAAGGTGCTGCTGCGGTCCACGCTGCTGTCCTCCGGTAGCGGCAATGCGATGCCGCGGTGCCCGCGGGCTGGTGCCGCCGCGCTCGCTGCTGCGTCCCGGTAAGGAAACGCCGACGACGACGCACGTGCGCGGTGTCGGCGGACGCTGGGCGCGCAAAGCGCGGAACTGCGGCGCCGGTGCTGCTTCCGCTGCTGCTGCAGCACGGCAGTATGCCAGGCGCGATCTCCGGCGGTGGGTGAGGGCCAGGACCACCGGTGAGGCGAGCGATCCCCTCCGGCAGGGACGGGGGGTGCCTCCTGCCCGCTGGCCGCCCGGGGCTGGCGGGACGGGAAGCTGCGAAGCGGCCGCCGCGGCAGGCTCCCGGTCCGCCGGAGGCGAGCCGGGCCAGGGCAGCGCCGGGCAGTTCCCCGAGAGCCGATAGAAGGGAAGAGGGGACGGAGGCGGGCACCCCCCAGGCGCGGCCAGCGGGCGCCTCCCCGAGTCGCCGGAGCTCCCCCGGCGCCTTCGCTCGGCCCGTGCGGCTGCCCCCAGCTCCAGCCCCTCCCCTGAAGCCTGTGCTGTAGCCGCAGGCAGCCCCCGAGCCCTGTCGTGAGGGCAGCAAGCTGGCCCTGCGATGTTCTCGAGTCTCCCTGAACGTGGGTGCCGTTAGCAGCGGCGCGGGGAACGAGCGGCGTCTGCGGAAGCCCCTGCGGAAGGAGGGGCTCCGGCCAGGGTCGAGCTACGGTAATAACGGTCACTGCTGCCTCTTTCCCTCTCCCAGAGGCCACGCTGTGAGTGCGGTTGTCCGTTCGTCCCCGGGGATGCCGTTGACTGCAGCAGCCTCAGGCTTGCGTGGGCTGTCTCTGCCTGGCCTCCCTCTCCTCGCGGCGCGGGAGCAAAAAGGGGCAGGTGGAACACTTACTGGCTGTGGACAGGAGCTGCTGAAGCTGGAGGGGCCACAGAATGGTAAAGCTGCTGAAGAATAAAATAAAGAGGATCCAGCCAGCAGCTGCAGACAGGAGATAGCCTGCCTCTCCAGGTGAGGATGGATCCTTCTTAGTGTAGTCCTTAGCAGATCCGATCACCAACGTGCACAGCAGGGTCTGTATGCGTAACCAAAAGCACAGTACAGCCATGTAGTGTGTGTGCATGTGAGGCTGTGTTTCTAGGAAGCCTCGTATTGTAAGAGCTGTAAGGCACCAATCTATTCTCTTAGGTGGATGACAGTCAAGTGACTGCAGCTACAGAGGAGGAAGGGAGAGGGAGAGAGAGACAGACATGTCTGAACTGTCAAATTCTCCCAGCAGCTCCAAGAGCGGGAGGTACAGTGAGTCCTGGACCCCTGGGGCTGTGTCACCCCTCTTCTGCATCCTAGTCCCTCCCTGCCCCCACCTTTTCTTTCTCTCACTGCTTTAATTTTTTTGTTTTTTCTTCCTGTACCTCTGCCTGTCTTGTTCTCCAAGTCCCCCTCTTTCTCTGTTGTTCTGCCTCTCTGTTTTCTTTTTCTCTCTGCATTTCTGACCTGTCCCATCCCTCTTTTTTATCCTCTGTTTCTGCCCTGCAGCCCATCACTACTTTTTCTTTCTCCATCTATCCGTCTGTCTTCTTATCCCAATCTTGTTAATTCCTCCCTGTCTGCCCTTTAGCCCTTCACAATTCCCGCTGCTCTCACCTGTCTGATGCTGTGTCTCTATTTTTAAATTCCTTTCTCTGCCCTGTATTCTGGATACACTTTTACTTTCTTAGATTCTCTTGTTCCAGGTCCCTGTCCCTATGTTTTAACTTCTTCCCTCACTGTCCCATAGCCCATTTTTGTCTTTATTATACTCTCTCTGTCTGGTTCCCTGTCCCTGTTCTTTATTTCCCCTCTCTCTCCCCTTTAGATCATCAGTGTTTTTGGTATTTCTCAGTCTCCCTGTTGTCCACCTCACTGTCCCCTTCTTTAATTCTTCCTTCTGCCCTGTGGCTCATCACTAATATTTGTTTTTCTCCGTCTCTCTGTGTGGTATCCTCTCCCTTTTTATTAGTTCCTCCTTGCTGTCCTGTAGCCCATTGCTACCCCCCCCGCCCCATCTCTCTCTCTGTCTCCCTTTCCCTACTTTTCAATCCCCCCTCTCTGCCCTGTAGCCGATCACTGTTGTAGTGAGTTTGTGTGGCAAGCTGGGGCAGGGGAGTGGGCAGGGGCTGCAGGGGTGGGTTCTGTGAGAAGACACCAGGACTTGCCCCCATGTTGGGCACAGCCAGTTCCAGCTCCAAGATGGAGCTGCTACTGGTCAAAGCTGAGCCAACCAGCAACGCTGGTAGCACCTCCGTGATATTTAAGAAGGGCTAAAAAAATGCTGTGCAGAAGCTGTCAGCCCTGCAGACACCAAGGTCAGTGAAGAACGAAAAGGAGGAGGTGATCCAGGTCCTAAAGCAGATTCCCCTGCAGCCTGCAGTGAAGACCATGGTGACACAGGCTGTCCCCCTGCAGCCCATGGAGGTCCATGGCAGAGCAGATATGCACCCTGCAGCCGATGGGGGACCCCTCGCCAGAGCAGGCGGATGCACCCAAAGGAGGCTGTGACGCTGTGGAGAGGAGCCCACATTGGAGCAGGTTTTCTGGCAGGACTTGCGGCCCCATGGGAGTGACAACACACTGGAACAGAAGAAGAACACAAAGAAGGAAGGAGCAGCAGAGACAACTTGTGATGAACTGACTGCAACCCCCTGCTCCCTCTCCCCCTGTGCTGCTCGGTAGGAGGAGGTAGAGAAGTCATGAGTGAAGGTGAGCCCAGGAAAAAAAGAGAGAGGTGGGGGGAAGCTGTTTGTCAGATTTGTTCATATTTCTCATTATTGTACTCTGATTTTGACTGACAATAAATTAATTTCCCCAAGTTGAGTCTGTTTTGCCTGTGACAGTAATTGGTGAGTGATCTCTTTGTCCTTATCTTGACCCACAAGCTTTTTTGTTGTATTTTCTACCCTCCTGTCTTGTTGAGGAGGAGGACTGATAGAGTGGCTTGGTGGACACTCGTCAGCCAGGCAAGGTCAACCCACCACAGTTTCCTTCTATGAGGCTCCCTGTCCCTATTTTTTAAATCTTGCCTATGTTTCTTGTATGTCATTGCTTTTGAAACTTCCTACCTCTCCATCCCTATTTAAATTCTTGCATGTTTCTTAAACCCAGTTGCTTTTAAAATTTTCTTGCTACTTTTCCCTCTCTTTGTCTCCCTGACCTTATTTTAATTTCTCGCCTGTGTTTCTTGTACCCTGTTGCTTTTCAAATTTCGTTCTTACGTCTCCCTCTATGCAGCTCCATGTACCTACTTTTTGATTCTTGTACCCTGTTGCTTTCAAAATTTTCTTTCTGTTTCCTTCTATCCATCTCCCTGTCTCTAGTTCTTAACTCTTCCCTCTCTGTCCTGTACCCTGTCACTTCTTACATTTTCTTTCTACATCTCCCTCTTTCTACATCTCCCTGTGCCTATTTGTTAGTTCTTGCCTATGTTTCTTGTATGCTGTTGCTTTTTAAAATTTTTCTCTCTACCTGGCTCCCTGTTTCTTTTTTCTAGTTCTTGCTGTTTCTTCTCCTGTATCACTTGAGAATGTTTCCCTGTCCCTTGTCCTGTCTTTATCTTCTTGTCCTGCCAGTCCCTTCCCCTTCTCTCCCCTGCTTCCTATTATTTATTCCTCCATCTCCATCCCTGTTGTTCTGCTCAGTCTCTCTGCTCTTCTCTCTCTACACTGTTTTCCTGCTTCTTGTCCCTCTCTTGTTCCCAGCATCCAATTTCCTGGCTCCGTCTTGCACATCTGTGTCCCTCTGTCCTTCCTCCTGCTTTTCTCTTCCCTTTTATTCCCCCCATCCTGCTGCCTTTGGGCACTGAGCCTTGTAGCCAACTCATTGCCAGGATTTCTTATATGCATTAATGAATAAATTTTTCCTGCCTCTTCTGTGTCCCTGGATGTGGGTAGGTGCAGGGGCAGGGATGATGTGCTGTGGGGCTTTGGCAATGGCCCCTGTTCCTGATGGGCTCCAGCTGGGGCTGGGATGGCCCCAGGTGTGGCCAGTGAGGCTGAGGATGGGGCTGGCCCTGCTGTGTGAAGGGGCTCCAGCTGTAAAGGGGGCTGCCTGGGCAGGGGAACTGGCTGGTAGGTGCCTGCAGCAAGGAATGGCCAGTCCTTGTGCCAAGGAAGGATCCCTCTGAGCTGTCCCTGGCCTTTGTTGGCTACACATGTGAGCCACCATGTATCAAAGCAAGCCTTGTGGATGAGGAGCATTGAGGCGTCCGCTGCGTGCTGCCGAGTGGGTGAGGGTCAGGCAGCCGGCACTGGGGAGGAGGAAGGGGCAGAGGCAGAGAGAGAAGCATCGGGGCGGTGAAGGTCTCCTGCCGGCACCAGGAGCTGTGGTGAGTCGCACGTCCTCTCCTCTACATCCTGGCCCACCTCTGCCTCCCTTCCTCTGTCTCCCTCTCTGCCTGCCCACCTATGTGTATGGCTCCTCAAAACTTGTTATTCTTCTGTCAACTCTGCCCAGTACCCTGTTGCCTTTTAAATTTTTAATATGCCTCTCTCTAACCAGCTTCTTCTCCCTGTTTTTTATTTTTTCTGCACCGCCTTGTACCCCATTACTTTTAAAATTTAATTTCTATGTCTTCCCCTCTCTGTCTCCCTGACCCTATATTTTAATTCCTCCCTCTCTGTCCTGTACCCAGTTGCTTGAGACTGGCTGGGCATTGGTCAGTTGGTGGTGAGCAATTGTTTTCATTTGCTGGTTTTTTTTTTTCCTCGTACAACTTTTTAAAAAAAAGTCTTTTTAATTATTAAACTTTTTATATCAACCCATGAGTTTCTCACATTTACCCTCCCGATTCTCCCCCTATCCCACTGTGGTGGAGTAAGTGAGCAGCTGTATGGTACTTAGTTGCCAGCCAGAGTTAAACCACGATGCTACATCCACTTTTATGAAGCTGCCTATTGCTATTTTTAAATTATTTTCTGTCTGTTGTGTACCCTGTTGCTTTGAAAATTTGCTTTCTATGTCTACTTTTATCCAGTTCACTGTCTTTATCTTTTTTTCCCTCTCTGTCCTGTGCCCCTGTGTCACTTTTAAATTTCCGTTATATTTCTCAGTTTTAGTTCACTGTGGCTATTTTAAATTTTTTTGTCCTGTACCCAGTCACTTCTTAAACTTTCCCTCTATGTCTACTTGTATCAAGCTGTGTATCACTGTTTTTTAATTCTTTCCTCACTATTGTGTACCCCGTTGCTTTTTACTTTTTCTTTCTATGTCTACTTTAACCTATTCACTGTCTTTAAGTTATTTCTGTCTGTCATGTAGCCCATCACCTTTTAAATTTTCTTCCTCTGTCTGTTTGTTTAATTAGCTGTCCCCATTTTTTAATTCTTTTTTCTCTGTCACGTACCCTGTTGTGCTGGTTCTGGATGGGATTGAGTTAATTTTCTTCCCAGTAGCTAGTATGGGGCTACATTTTGGATTTGTGCTGAAGACAGTGTTGATAACACAGGAATGTTTTTGTTATTGCAATCCAGAAGGTAGTTCTGTAGAAGTTAGGTGGTATGCACAGTCTGGCTAGAAATGAATCATAACCCCAGAGCGTTTTGGCTTTTTTATAGGAAACTAAAGCACATCAATTTTGATAACAACATTGTCATTGCATTTAATGAGCTAATTTCCTACCTAGTTTAGAAGGGCATCTATTGTTTTCTATCTACACCCCAGAAAAATTAAGTTTAATTCCCTACCTGGTCCCATTGCTGATGCAATAGGTGTAGCTGTAGTACAGGAGCAAGTAGTGTCATTTCCTGGAGGGGTTACTTTCTCTGTTCAGGGCTTTGCTTCCTGTAAATTTAAGGTAGGTGAGAACAGTGCTGCTGCTCCTCCATCTGACTTTATAACTTCTGGTGGTTTGCCCTTCCCCAGGTGATTGTGCTAAGGGTGGTGGGCCGAGGCTCAGGCAATTTGAGCCACAGCCTCTGCTGAGGGAGCTCATTGTGCTCCTGGGTTTCTCTGGTGTTGGTGCTCAGCTCTTGCTTGAGTCCTTTGCAGCTTTTGAGCTGGCTCAGCCCTTTGGGAAGAGGTGTCTGCCTGAGGTAAGAGCTTCAGGACCAGTCAAGGTTCAGCAGCATGTGTAGTAGCAACTAACACTTGTATGCAGCTTTTTTTTTTTGTTTTCCTTTTTTTTTTTTCAGGTCAGTAATTTTGTTTTGAGTGTTCAGGGGTAGAAAGATGGTTTGATAGTATGCATTGTTTGTTCATTTATTTTTTTTTAATTCTTCATGCATTGTGTTTTCCTGGAATTCCCAGCTTTATTGAAAAAGGAGCCTTGTTTTTTTCACCAGTTCTGCTGTATGCTGTGTAAGTGCTGATATCTCTCTTAACGGGACCGATGGTGACATTGTTTGTCAGGGGTTAGGGTGACCGTCTTGTATGCATCTGTATATGGAGATTTAGTATTTCTGAAGAAAGCAGAAGGGCCGTGAGGCACAGTGCCTTTCAGGGTCTGGGATGCCTTTCCTCA